AGCGGGCCTGGCCTAGGGAGGATTTTTAAATTGGGTTTTTTAGAAATTTTAATCACACAACACTAAAATTTTGGTTTTAATTTGGTTTTATTCGGTGGGGTGTGTGGGTCTCTCTTTGTTTTAATAATGTTGTGAGCCGCCCTGAGTCCTTCGGGAGAAGGGCGGGATACAAATTGGAATAATAAATAAATAAATAAATGGGCGCTCCACCACTGGAGGTTTTTAAGAAGAGACTGGACAGTCACTTGTCAGAGATGGTATAGGTTTTCCTGCTTGAGCAGCGGGCTGGACTAGAAGACCTCTATGGTCCCTTCCAGCTCCATTCTATTCTATTCTATTCTATTCTATTCTATTCTATTCTATTCTATTCTATAATTCTACTTAGATTTTGTCCACATCTACAGAGAAACTTCCTGTAGGCAAGACCTACCCCAGAGGGGAGCGGGTTGTGGGTTCACCCTCTCAGCCAGAAGAAGCTGAACAAATTGTCTTTTGAGGTTGGTCTAGATGAGGAGTCTCCAATCTTGGTAAGTTTAAGACTCATGGACTTCAACTCCCAGAATTCCCCAGCTAGCATCGCTCTACCCAATCCATCTCCAACCTTTCCAACTCGACAGACCAGTGGAAGCGGGGCGGGGGGGAGGGGAGAGAGAGGGGATGCACCCACTTCCCTGGCCCAGTTCTGAACGGGCTACGGTCCGGCACTGGACCATGGCTCAGGGGTTAGGGACCCCTGGTCTAGATGATCCTTGTGGTCCCTTCCATACTGGGTGTTAAGCACTGGACCTGATCGCCTTCTTAGGTTAAACACGGCCTACGTTCTCCAAGCGCAGAATTTACCTTTTATTGTCCCGAGCTGAGGCCCGACCTGTTGTGTAAACCGGCCTTTACCAATTGCCAGGATGTATAGAATAGAATAAAAATTTTATTGTCACTTTATATGGATGCCCATTAGGGGTGTGTCAATGGGGGGCGGAGGGGGGCAGAGAGAGCGCCATCGGCCTTCCCTGCCAGCCTGGCAGTCTCTAGTGCACCAGGCTGGTCTCTGGGCTCTGCTTCCATCTCAATGGAGCCAGCACTTCCTCTGCCAGTGTGACATCACAGCCTCCTCCAGGCGGCACCCCAATGCCACGGTGATGCACGCAGCTCTGCTCTGACCAGTTCCACTGATTGCTGAGCCAGCTCCCCCCCCCTCGCTGAGTCAGTGCTGGCCCCCGCTGCCTGGCCAGCTAAGGGAGGGCCTGGGCATGCCTGTCTCCTTGAGCCCAGCTGCCCCACGCCCCATGGGTACAGATGTTGGCAAGGCACTCGGCTTGGAGGGGGGGCTGCTCTGCCAGCTGATCCGCTCCCCAGATTACAACCTGTTCCCCAACTCGGCTGTTTTTGAGAGCAACTTCGTTCAGGTTTGCGGTGGGGCAGGCCCAGGAGGCAGGCCGGGCCGGGGGCTGTGCCAAAGATGCCCACTTAGCCTTTTGCCTTCACCCTTGGGCAGAGATGATGGAGGGCGCAGCTGGTGCCCCTTCTGCTGGGCATGCCACTGGGAAGCCTTGGGCTGAGTGAGGAGGGTACCCTCACCCGTTGCGCCCCCTGGTGGGAACAAGGGGGTGACTGGATTTGATGAAAATAGACGGGTCTGGCCCTTTAATTAACCCAGGGCTCTCGGGTGGGCGGGAAACGGCTTCCACAGGTCACAAAGAAGGGGAAATGGATGGACATCACCCACACGCCCACCATTGTGACTCTGGCAGTGACCTCCTCGGATCCCTGCCTCCCTCTCCCCAACGTGCTCCTGATGGCCAATCACCGGGCCCCGCTTGGCAGGCTCCACGCTGGCGGTCCCCAGATGTCGCGGATGGACCTAACCAGGTGATGTTGGCCCAGGAGCAGGAGGGAGACCTTGGCCCAGGCCTGTCCCTGCCTGGGCCGGATCAGGAGGGGAAGCAGGCTGGCATCAGAGGGGCTTGGGCTGCCTCAGGGCACCTCCCCACAGCTGGAGGAGGAGGAACTCGGCCAGGTTGCTTCACACATGCAGCTGCAGGGCCGGGTCCTGGGACACCACCCAGAGCCTCGTTTTGGGCAGCCTGAAGTCCATACTGGGGCCGATGTCCAGCATCAGCGGCGTTGGCATGGCCTGCGTGCCCAGGGTTACCTGGATCGTGGTTCATTCCACGAATCCTTTCCTGGGTCTAATAAACCAAAAGTGGCTGCGGGGAGCAGAATTTTGAGACTTGGGAGGTGTCTCGTTTGGGGGGGGGGGCGCTGCAGGCAAAAGGGAGCAGCCAAGGCCCCCCTTCCCAGGCCCACCCCAAGGGGGTCTTGCCCATCTCCCAGCCCTGCCCCGCCCCCACCCGAGCTTCTGGCCCAGCCTGTCCTTGACTGCCTCCGTTGCTTTGCCCAGGCTGCTCCCCCTCCGCTACGTCCAGCTCTCTGTCCACAGCGCCTCCCAGCGCATTTTGCGTCTCCAGACGGTGACCAAGACGGTGTATTACCTGCAGCTGCACCACGAGCACCCAGAGGCCGTCTTTGCGCTCTGGAGCCGCCTGACCAACATCCTGCACAACGGCCTCTCCACCACCACCAAGGACCCGGCCATCCCCATCCACCACTGCCTGGTCTCCAGCCGTAGCAGCAGTGCCTCCAGCATCAGCCCCGTGGCCGAGGTATGCGGTCCCCTCGGCTCCAATCAGAGCAGGGCGGGAAGGGACCTCGGAGGTCTTCCAGTCCAACCCCCTGCTCAGGCAGGAGAGCCTATGCCATTTCAGACAGGTGGCTATCCCGACTCTTCTTAAAAACCTCCAGTGTTGGAGCATTCACAACTTCTGGAGGCAACTTCTCTACCCCTGGTTAATTGTTCTGACTGTCAGGAAGTTTCTCCTTAGTTCCAGGTTGCTTCTCTCCTTGATTGGTTTCCATCCATTGCTTCTTGTCCTGCCTTCTGGTGCTTTGGAAAATAAATTCCCTCCCCTTCTTTGTGGTGGCCCCTCAAATACTGGAATACAGCTATCATGTCACCCCCTGGTCCTTCTTTTCTTTAGACTGGCCATACCCAACTCCTGCAACCCTACTTCGTATGTTTTAACCTCCAGGCTTTTGATCACCTGAGTTGCTCTTCTCTGCACTCTTTCCAAAATCTCAACATCTTTTTTTTGTAATGTGGTGACCAAATCTGGATGCGGGATTCCAGAGGTGGCCTTACTAAGGCTTAATAAATCGGTACTAATACTCAGCCGAAGGGCCGCTCTGGGGAGGCCGCTGGAGAAGGTGCAACTGGTTAACAATGTCCCTGCAGACGGTGGAGGGCTTGGAAGGAGCCAACGGCAGGAGAAGGATGCTCTAAAGGCCGGCCAGATGCCCTTCTTTCCCTGGCTGGGTGCAGAGGCCTTTGATTTCAGAGAGTATTCCGGAAGAATCTCTCTCACCCAGCCATCTAGAGCCATCCTGCCAGCACAGCACCAGTTGGGGGGGTGTCCTTGGTGCTCTCTGAGCTCGGTGGAGTTTTTGCAGACTTTTCATGATCCAACTATGTAAGATCATCAGTGCTAAAAGGGAGAGGGGGGGGGCTTTATATACAAGTCACTTATCCTGTCAGTGTTGGTGGGAGTGGTCTTGCTAGTTCCTTCATTAGGCTGTTGCCTACCCCTGCCTTAGATTGTTTGTCTGAGTTGGTAGTTCCTGGATTGGGGTATAAACAGAGAACAAACCCTATGTCCTTCAAGCACTGATGATATTCCTTAGTTGGGTCATGAAACGACTGGAAGAAAACAACCCAGTTCAGAGAACACCAAGGACCCCACAGTTCTCCTCCCTCCCTCCTCCTCCTCTCCACAAACCCCACTCCCTTCTAGCCCTGATAATGTTACCTAGTTGGGTCATGAGACGTCTGCAAGGAAACAGCCCAGTTCAGAGAGCACCGAGGACCCCACGGTTCAACCCTGAGCTACAAATATTGTTGACAGCACCCCTTCCTCCGCTGGGTCCCCATCTCTTTAACGAGACGGGCCGGTCCTGGCTGCTGCTGAACTAAGATCAGACACCCCACCCACTTTCAGCTGAAGCCAGCCGTGGTGCAAGCCAGCCTGACTTCGGTTGTCACCTTCCTTTCCACCTCCCAGGGATGGGATTGCAGCCGGGGTAGGGGATCTGTAGTCCTTTGGGGGAGCAGGCCATTGGTTACTCCTCTGTGGCGTTTTCAGGCTTGCCACATTAGGGTGGGGTCACTCATGAATCTTGACCGACAAGAGAAGACAACACACAGGCTCTCTTCTGGACGAGTGAACCAAGGGCATATCCTGTGTTCCTCTTTTATTTTGCAACATACATGAGGAAGTGTGCAGGTGTCAATATAATTGGTTACATGTATAGGAAATAAGTACATGCCATCATATAATTGGTTACACACTTGTTGCAGGGCAGAAAACTAAGTAGGTTAACATACAATTGGTTCTACTTTCCTACATAGCGTCCTAGCATATGATTATTTAATGCAAAGCAAAGTTACTTGACCATTGCAGAAAATCCCAACAATCCACCTCTTGTCCCCCCCCCCCAGCACTCTGAGACGGTGATGAGGAGCCCAGGGATAATAATGGGAATGGGCAGGAAGGTGTCGGGCGCCCCCTCCCAGTTCTCCCCAAGACTCAGGCAAAATCAGGAGAAGCCCAGGAGGTAAGTGGCCTGATCAGCCAGCCCCTCCCCCCCCACGCCCTCCCTCCCCGGTCAGTTTTGTGTAGACTTCTCTCTTGAGCTCCTATCTACAGACTTCATGCTAAAGTTGGTTTATTGTTTTCTTGCTCATCTGGGCCAACAATTTAGGGAAAGGTAGATACAAGGCAGGTTCTGCAAGGCAGGTTCACCCTGCTGGGGACAAGAGTGGTTTGACAGGGCAGCCCCCCCCCCACCCTGAGAGCTGGAGGTCTCCGAACAGGAGCTGGACTCCCCTTTATCGGAGATTTATTTTTTTTTTAAACCAAAGTTGCTTTAATCTGAATTTACATCCTGAGCGGCAGGAGAGGGTCCACCTGTCTGAGAAGGGCCCTTCGGAAGCCGTGGGCCGTCCTGGGAAGGAGGCATGGCGGGGGGGGGGGTAGCCAGGGGCGGGTACAGACAGACACCCGGTAAACGCGCAGAGTCTGAGCAAAATTGATGAGGGTCAACCTACCCCCTCCCGCAGGACGAGCTTTGGCGAAGCAAGCGCCAGCCCTGGCTCGCTTTCCCCTCTGACGGGACCCTGGGTGGGGCCGGGGGGGGCGGGGGTTCCCCGGAGGGCCCCTTTCCTGACCCGCCCTGCCTCTCCTCCCGCGCCAGAGTCTCCTTCCAAGCGCAGCAGCAGAGCCTGGAGAGCTCGTCGGGACCCTCCAGCGACATTAAAGGTGAGCGCTGCCCCCCGGGACCCCCGGGCGCCGGGACGGGGGGCGGCGGCGGCGGCGGGGGACGCAGCGGGGCCTTTTTTTTGGCCGGGCGGCGCCCACATCCCGGCGCGCCCCTGCAGTGGCCCAGGACAGCCGCCGGGGGGCGCCCCAGATCAGCGGCCCGGGACCCCCCCCCCTTTCCCCCCGCCCGAGGCCGACCCCCGCCTCCTGCCCTGCTCTGCCCGGCAGTTCTCTTCTACGACCTGCCGCCGCCGCTGGTGTGCGCGCGGTGCCGGGGGCGGCTGCCCAGGACCGAGCCGCGGAGGTGCCGCCTGGACGCCCGGCCCGCCGACTCGGACCCGGAGCTGGCGCCCTGGATGGACCGGAGGGTGCACGGCCTCTGGCAGCAGGAGACGCCCACCTGGCTGCAGCCCCTCTGCCGGCTCAGCAGCCTCGCCGCCGCCGGCTGGAAATAGGCCGGGCCGGGACCCCGGCGGGGGCGGACGGGACGTCCGGACACGCCGCCGCTGCCGCCGCCGCCGCCGCCGCCCGGGCGGGCCCAGAAGCGCCTGGCAGGGCCAAAGCGCAAAACGGATCAATAAAGCTACCGGCTGGACCCGACCCAGGCGTGGCGCCCGCTAGCCGAGGAGGATGCGGGGAGGGGCGGACCCGGGGACAGCGCCGCCCGGGCCTGGATCGGGGCCGCGGAGGGCCGAGGCGAGGGGGAGGCAGCTGGCTCTGCCGGAGGACGTGGACGCGGCCAAGGGGGGGCGGGGGGGCCTTCTAATACCCCTCCAGCCTTCCTCCTACCCGCCCCCCCCCGGCCTCTTCTGTCTCCCCATCCCCTGGAAACGGTATCCCGACTGTTGAGGGAGCCCTCGGAGTGGGTTGGGGTGCACCAAGCCCCCCCCAGCTGTCAGGGCTCCCTCATTTGCCCAGAGCACGTGGCAGTTCCCACCAAGGGGGCAGACCCCCGCCTCTCCAGGGGCTCTGCTTTGGGGGGGCGAAGCTGGGGGTGAGCAGCTTCTGGGTGGCTCCATCCAGAGCTTAGCCCAGAAGATGAGGGAGGAAGAAAGAATTTGGGGGTCCAGGAGGGGGCTTGGCCAGGGAGCCTGGCTTTGGAGGCAAGGGCTGAGCGAGCCCCCTCCCCCGATGAAGGAGTCCAAATTTGGGGAAGGGTGACTGAAAGGGGAAGATGCTGCTTTCCCCATGACTGGAAAAGCCCCCCTGGCCATAGACCTCCCCCCCTTCCCCTCCAACCCCCCCCCACTAATCCAAAGGAAGGTCAAACCAATTTAGGGGCAACGTTGAAGCCAGGCCTGACCTCTGCTTGCTGGGGCGCTCAAAGCAGGCAGAAAGGACCCCCCCTGAGGACGGGGCACCCCGGAGGGGCTCTGGCTGCTCTGCTGCTGCTGCTGTCAGAACTGCCATCCTTCGCCCGGTGCCAGCCTGCCATAAACCTGGTGTGTGTGTGTGTGAGGAGTGGCGGGAGCCAGGGCAACCGAAATGAAGCTTTAGTGCCGTCCGGAGACCTCCGCTCATCACCCCAGGGCCAGGCGCTTGGGTGGGAAGCAGGATGTATCGCTCCAGACCAGCCCGCTTTTGCAGGGACGGTTGCCAAAACAACTTCTTTGACTGTTAACTGGACACACGGGAGACACAGTAGCAGGGTGTGTGTGTGCGCGTGTCGAACGGGAACGGGAAAGTTAACTGGGAAGCTTCCCCCCCCCCCCCGCAAAACCTCGGTTCTGGCTATGAACTACTGTAACCACCTGGCTTTTAGTAAAAGTATTCTTTTGGCTACCAATGGAGTGGAGAGTCTTGCTTGCCAAGAGGGCCCGGCTGGGGCAGGGCTGACCGCTGCATCTTCAGGTGGGCGGCTGAGGGAGGCCCCCGAGGGACAGGGACACGGGCTTTCCCGCCTTTGCTGTGTGAACTTAACCAGCAAAAACGGTCGACTGCTGGCCACTTTCTAAACCAGGGCTCTTCAAACTTGGCCCTTTGATGACTTGTGGACTTCAATTTCCAGAATTCCTCAGCCAGGCACAAGTCATCAAAGGGCCAAGTTTGAAGAGCCTTGTTCTAAACCAGGGGTAGTCAACCTTGGCTCTTTTATGACTCGTGGACTTCAACTCCCAGAATTCCTGAGCCAGCTAAGCTGGCTCAGGAATTCTGGGAATTGAAGTCCACGAGTCATAAAAGAGCCAAGGTTGACTACCCCTGTAATCTAAACAGAGTGCTCTTTGCCACATTAAATGGCAAAGCGAGAAACTTCAGCCCCCCAAAAGAAACCTCCTCATTTGTTCTCATCTGAATTTATATACAAATAAGGCCACTTACTGACTGTTCAAAGTTACAAGGGACCCCCAGAAAGATACTTATGACCCGGTTCTGAAGTTCCTACAGCTGCCCACCCCGTGGTCACGTGACCGCATTTCGTGTGCTCAGCCGCCGTCCTACATTAATGACCACTTGCCGCATCCCACAGTTGCATGACCACGATTTACACCATTCCTGTGGTAAACCCGCATTTATTTTCATTTTGGGGTAAAAGTGTCCTGTAGTGAACCATGGGTTTGCTTAACAACCATGGATTCACTTAATGAGCATAAAGTTTCACTTATGATCACTGCAAAAAAGATAATAAAATACAAATCGGGTGGGTTGTGTGATGACTCATTTTATGACTGTCACAATTTATGACTATGTTCAGATATTCTGGTCTGGCAGCTGGAGCAGCAAAGGGCTGTGAGGGGTGGGGGCCAGGACACCTGGGTTGATGGACAGGCCCCTGCGTGAAGTGATCTGTGCTGTGATTGGCTGCTCGGCGTGGAGGGGGAGTTTCCCTTTTTTCCCGCCTTTTCCCCCCCTGTGAGCCCTTTTGCGCTCTGCCATTTATTTACCTCAGGACGAGGCTCCCCTTTGCCTCGCCTGCTGCAGGCGTGGATAGATAGATTAGATAGAGAGAGATAGATGGGAAATATATTTATTTACATAAAACTACCAAGTTCCTGTCAGCTTCTCCCACTTCATTGGGACGCTGGCTGCGTAATTCCCTGACAGACTATAATGGGCAGGCTCCATTATTGTTATAAGTCGAGGACTTTCTATACATTGAAATCCAGGCAGATGAAAAGCTGCTGAGGAGGGTCAATGGCAGCCATTAACAACAATAGGCTTCCTGGGTCAGTTCCCCCTTCCCCAGTAGCTTTTCTTGCTGCCCCCTCCTTTCCTTTGGGCAAATGGCAAGTACAGGCAGTCCTCGACTTACAACCATTCATTTAGTGACCGTTCAAAATGACAGCAGCACTGAAAAAATGACTTGTGACTGTTTTTCACACATACAACCGTCGCTGCATCCCCACAGTCACGTGATCAAAATTCAAGAGGCTTGGAAACATTCGTATTTATGACGGTCGCAGCGTCCCGGGGTCAAGTGATCCCCTTTTGGGACCTTCTGACAAGCAAAGTCCAGGGGGGAAGCCAGATTCACTTAAAAACTGTGTGACTTAACAACTGCAATGATTTATTTAAACACTGTGGCAAGAAAGGTAGTAAAATGGGCCAAAACTCACTTAACAACCGTCTCATTTAGCAACGGATATTTTGGGCTCAGTTGTGGTCATAAGTCCAGGGCTCCCAGTACGAGGCCAGTAGCTGCCCTTCAGCCAGATGAATGGGAGGCCAGAGAGGGCGGCTGTCTGTGCAGACCCCGAGAGGGATTTACAAAGCTCTCCAGCTTTAATGCATTGTGCAGCTTTTGCAGCTGGGCTGTGGGGTCCAGATGGCCCCCTCCCCACTCCAGCTGTGCGGGGGATGCCGAGGGGGGGGAAACCATGCCGGCTCAGCTCCAAGGCCCCCTCCTGGCTTTTGGAAGCAACCCTGTGGTTCTGGAAGGGGGTGGGGGGGGACAAAGTGCCCCCAGGCCCCTCTGCACGAGGGGGCAGGCGCTGCCCGTGGGCCAGGAAGGTCACCCAGCCCCCCCTGGCTTTTCTCCTGGCTGTCTCCCTGCCAAGCAAAGCCTCCCTCCTCCGTTCAGGCATCTGGATCGCACAAGATGGGCCCCAGCCGTTCCCACAAGCTGCTCCAGGCGTCTCTTTCTGGCCTTCCTCCCCGTCCTCAGGCTGGAATCTCCAGACGTGGCAGGCTGGGTCAGGCAGGGCCATCCCTGCCTGGGTGACGCCTCCTCAGCAGCCTCAGAAATAGGCAACCCCCCCCCGTTCTCCATCTTCCTTTTCTATATCTAAGGCAGGTTGGGTCACCTCACAGGTGCATTCCAGCATTTGCCCCTTTCCCGCCTAAGCGGTCTTGGTCTCAGGACGAGTCATCTGCCTTCTCCTGAAAATCTCCATGGTTTCAGCACAAAACCAACTCGGAATCAGAATAGAGCTGGAAGGGACCTTGGAGGTCTTCTAGCCCAACCCTCGACTCAAGCAGGAGACCCCATGTCATTCCTGACAAGTGGCGGTCCAGTCTCTTCTTAAAAACCTCCAGGGATGACGCGCTCACAACTTCTGAAGGGAAGCCATTCCACTGGTTAATTGTCCTCACTGTCTGGAAGTTTCTCCTTAATTCCAGGTTGCTTCTCTCCTTGATCAGCTTCCATCCCTTGCCTCTTATCCTGCCTTCTGGTGCTTTGGAGAATAGCTTGACACCCCCCCTCTTCTTTGTGGCAGCCCCTCAAATACTGCAAATACTGCTATCATGTCACCCCAGTTTCTTCTTTTCTCTAGACCGGCCAAACCCAAATCCTGCATCCGTTGCTCTTTGTATGTTTTAGTCTCCAGACATTTACTCATCTTTTAATCAGCCCCTCCTGCCTCTCTCTGCTACAGGAGATTCATCTATGGGGAGGGAGGACAGGGACCCTTCCAGCAGGGGCAGAACCCACACCCCCTTCCCCTCTCCTCACCTTTCACTTGGAGCTAATGTTGGGATGGTTTTCAGGCTTGCTGGTGTGCAGTTCCTAGAATCCCGAAACAGCACATCTGGAGCACATCAGGTTGGGGGAAGCTGCCTCGTTGAGGGAGAGCATTTATCTCCCACACTTTCTCCAACTTTGGCACAAACATGTTGTGGAGCATCCAAATCCAAATTATTGTGCTGCATTCTGGAGGGGGTGAGGGGTGGGGAGCCTCTCCCCCGGGGACGCCAGGACCTTTGGCGACCTGGCTTCAAGGCTCAGCTTTGTTCTTGCCTCTCCCAAAGACGCTTTTCCAAAAGGCAACTGGATGCTCTCGGTTTTTTTCCCTTGAAGATGTTTTGCTTCTTTGGTTCTTCTTGGATGAGAAGCGAAATGTTTTAGAGGAAAACACAAAGAAAGTCCAGTTGCCTTTTGGAAAAGCACTTTTGGGACAATCTGGATGACAGAGACTCTGCATAGACATCTGCTCTCGCCTCCTTCCAGTTAAAGGGGGGGCCCAGAGAGAAACCCCTGGGGGGCACTTTCTCCTCGGCCTCCTTCACTATTTGGCTGCTGGTCTCTTTCTCGAGGAGGGGAGGGAGCAAAGAATTGTGTGTGGGGGGAGAGTGTTTCTGTTGCTCCTGATTTTCCTGACTGGTGGGATCTGGAGTTCTAGCACTGAGCCCAGGTAGTCCTCAATTTACAGCCGTCGATTTAATGACGGTACAACAGCACTGAAAAAAGGGACTTATGACCGTTTTTCACACTTACGACCATTGCAGCATCCCCATGGTCACGTGATCCAAATTCAGAGGTTTGGCAACAGGCTCATATTTATGACGGTCGCAGGGTCCAGGGGTCACGTGATCAGCGTTTCTGACCTTCTGACCCGCAAAATCAATGGGGAAGTCAGATTCGCTGAACAGCCAGGTTACTAACTTAACAATTGCAGTGGTTCACTTAACAACTGTTTTAAGAAAGGCTGTAAAATGGGGGCAAACCTCACTTAACAACTGCCTTGCTTAGCAATGGAAATTTGTGCTTAATTGTGATTGTAAGTCAGGGACCACTTGTAGTCCTCTTGGAGAGTCCTGGCCTTGTGAAGTAGTGCTGATACCCCAAAAAGGGGGTCTCCCCCAATTCACCCCACAACTCTCCCCCCTGAACCTGCAGCTAGTGAGCCAGTCTGGGTTTGGACTCTTTCAGGAGGTGCTATGCCCATGTTCAGAGGTAGCTGGACAGATGGATGTGGGCAGGGGGCTGAGCAGGCTGTTTCAAGCACCCACCTCCACTTGCCCGGCCCACCCCACCACGTCCTGCCCCCCAGGCAGAGGGCGAAGGAGCTGGCCTCTCAGCAGGAGGGGAAAAAGAGCTGGGAAAATCCATCCACCTTTAGCTGAACTTGTCCCACCTTAAAACTGCCAGGACAACCCAGCTGTTCCCGAAGCCGAATCAAGCAGCACCTCTTGAGCTGGACCCTTCCTGGCTTCAGAGGCTGCCGAGAGTCCAGCTGTTGTGCAGTTACACTGCAGCAGTGTTTCTCAGCCAAGGTGGCTGGACTTCAGCTCCCAGAATTCCCCAGCCAGCACTGAAAGTGGCCAAGGATGACCACTATTGCACTAGCAAAAAGGGCATCTGGCTGGATAAAATGGGGTGTGTTTGTGCTGCGCATTCTTGTTTGGGGCTTACATAAGCCGCGGAGTTGTGTTTTGAGCACAAGTTTTGTGAATTGGCAACGTAAAGTGCAGCATTCCTGCTCTTCTCCTGCCAAGTAGAATTGGAGGAATTTTATCTGCGGGAGGAGGCAGCAAAGCTGTCCTGCTGGGAAGGCCTGAGCTGGGTGCCTTCCTGGCTCCCTTGGCCAGAGAACTGGACCTCCTTCGCCCTTTCTGGGGTGGGGGCAGCGGGGGGGGGCAAGATCTCTCTCTGGAGCAAGCAGAGATGCTGGATTGATTCTCCCAACAGGCCAATAAAGGCAGGGTACAAATACACAAATAAACAAATAAATCCAAGCACCACGTCATGGGATGGGGTGCTTGCAATTGTGTATTTGAATATTTTATTAGTTTATGAAAATATAAAATACAGAGCTACAAAGAAAAATGAAAATAATGGGAAACGGGGAAGAGAAAAAGAAAAGAATGGGGGTGCTTGCAATTGTGATGTGGCTCCCCAAAGACCCCCGCCCCCCCTTCTCTCCCCCTCCTGTTTTCTCAGCAGGGATCCGAACGCAGGCATGGCAGGCGATGGGAGGCCTGGCAGCAGAAGGCCTGGGTGGGTCTCCTGCCAGCAGGTCTCGGTGCCAAAGACGGGAGGGGGGCGTTTCCCACTCTGCCTCTCTCCCCCCCTCCCCCTTTTTTGTGCGCACAGAACCCCCATCCGCCCTCCTTGCCAAGTCAGGAAGAGCTGGAAAGGCAGAGCTTTGAGCTACTGTTTCGGGGGGGGGGGGGTTGCAATATTTTGTTGCCTTGGGTTGCTCTAGGGCTGCCACCTCCCTTAGCCTTGCTTGAGAGTAAACCCCATCAAACTGCCTGGAACTCTGGGGGGGATTTGTCCAAAAGAGCTGCTGAGTCCCCTTCCATTACTGAAAACAAGTAGGGTTGTTTACAGCTCTTTGAAGAGAAGGAAGCCAAAACAGCAGCTTTGACTGCTTAAAGTTGTGAATAGTTTACATACTTGGAATTGCTCACACAAGAACCAGCTACTTCGGCCATCTGGGCTGCCTCCACAAGGGACAATAAAGATTAACTGAGGATACTGCAAAGGCTTCTGGCCTACATATTGTTTGCAGCGTGCCGGTGGATGGAGAAGGCTGTGGTGTCAGAGCACTCGGCCTGGCTTAATATCCGTGGCGCCCGGTTGGCCAGGATGGCTAGAAAAGGGCTGCTCTAGACTGCTTTGATGCAGCCTCAAGATTCTTGACATACAAATAGGCTTCGACTTATGAGCACGATTTTCTGCTGCTAAGCGAGACAGTTGTTAAGTGAGTTTTGCCACCTGAGAAGGGAGAGAACTCTGCATCCTGACGTTTGGAAGGAAACTACGGCCAACTAGAGGGTGGCGGATGAGGAGCAATGGCGGGGCTGGTAGGATTCGCAGGCCAATCCCCGTTCCTTCACCTTCGGCCAAGCTTTGATCCCTCCTGGCTTGAGGGCAGCTCCGGAGGGGAAGTCACAGAGGACCTTCTGCACCACCTCCGTGCAGAGATGTTGTGCCTCTCCAGCTGAAGCACAAACACACAACACCTGAGCTCAGTTAGGAACAGGCCGAGAGGGAGGATGAACAATATTAGTCCATCAGTTCATCTCTAAGCCAGGAGAGACATGATCCAAGAGGAGATGGAACTTCTGCGGATGGAACGTCAAAAAGAGGCCCACTGATCCTCGGAGAGGGAAATTTGGGCCCCAAGGAGACCCCGCCAGGCCCAGGGCTGAGGGTCTCTGGCGATTCTCAGTCTCCCAGGTCATGGCTGTCCCAAAGGGGCTTTTTCAAAAGGCAACTGGACTCTGTTTCCCCCTGAAGACGTTTCTTCAGCTCAGAAGGGAAGAAGCTTCTTGGAGGAGAAGCGAAATGTCATCAAGGAAAAACAAAGCCCGGTTGCCTTTTGAAAAAGCACTTCTGGGGCACAGGGCTAGACGTAATGCAGGTTTTTGGATAAGATTTTGATATATGGACAAGGCCGCTGTTAAGCCACCTCAGGGCCTTGCCCTCCCCCTTCACACCGGTCACCTGGGACGCACCAAAGAGCCGGTCAGCCTGATGGGCAGTTTTGCAGGCCTCCCCCCCCCCCGTCACCCTTGCACAGTGACACTCCAGCTCACCCCAAACGTCAAATAGAGTGGGAGCCCCCACCCCACCCTTGGAGAATACGGTGGGCACATGCTGTGCCGTTTGGGGGGGGNTTTCTCGTTTTGAAAAGCCCCACTTTGGGCTGCCTTGGCCAGCAGTCCTGGGGAAGGGGAGGGGGACAGTGGGGGCGAATGTGGAAATGGGGGCTCTCCAGCCACCCTCCTTTCCGCCCCCCCGCCCCCCACGGGGCTCCCGAGGAGCGGCCGCGATCGCGGAGGGTTGGCGGAGGGGACCGCCCCGTCGGAGCTCCCCGTGCGGGGCGGGGGCGGCACCGATAGCTGCCCGGGAGGGGCGGGGGCAGCTCGGCTTATAAAGCCCGGGGAAGCCGCTCCTCTTTTCTTCTCTCCGCTTCGGCTGCCCGGCTTGCTCTCCTCCCGGCGCCGCAGGACCGGTGAGTGGCTCCCTCCGCTTCCCACGCCCGGCGCCTTCCGCGGGTCGAGCGCGGGGGACGAGTAGGAGGACCCGCTTTTCCTTCGCGAAGCCTCCCTCCCCGCTTGGGTCCCCGAGTGGCCAGCAGCAGAGGCTTGCCTTGGGGAGGGGGCAGCTGCGACCCCCAGCGCGCAGCCCCCACTAGCCGCAGCCGCCAAGCCCGGCCAAGAGGTCGGCGCGCTGGGCTTGAGGGCGGGGGGGGGCTCTTCCTTGGCTTTCCCAGCTGCAGAGACGCCCCCGCCCCACTTCTCCAAACGCCCCCAGCGAGGAAGGTCGGGGAGACGCATTTGGGGGGCGCCAGAGCGAGCCTTGGTTCCTACCAGATGGACGGAACTCGGCGCTTCCTGCCTGGAAGGGGGCTTCGCTGGCGGAAGAGCGGGTCCCCTCCCGAGACCCTCGCTGGAACGGAGCTCTTCGAGGCTGCGCCCGGCGCCTCCGGCGTTGAGCGCCCTCCGGACACCCGGCGGCCCAGTTCCCGGCCCTTTCTGCCCACAGGAAGGGAGAAGGGCGGGGTCGTCCCTAGTTGCCAGCCCCAGATCAACTCCCGTCGGGGCTCCGCCGGCCAGCGGCTGCACCTCAGCACCTCGGAGAGAAGCGCGGGAGGGTCTCGGACCCGAGAGGGACGGTTCGCCTCCGCCCCCTGCTGGCGCCCCCGCCGCCCCCGCCCTCCAGCCACAGCCGACCCACCGCGGGCGTTTAGACTCGGCTGGCCTCTGCCGGCGCTCCCCCGCCGCCCACGGAGCCCCGGCCCTCTGCCCCGGCCTCCGCTTTGGCGGGCGAGGGGGGAATTCGCTGCAAGGGACAAGTAGCCGCGCCTCCCGGGGGGGGGCTCGGCTGAGCCGTGTAGGCGCTGGGGGGCGGCGGCGGCAGCGAGATGTTCGGTCAGGGATCGGCGCGTCTGTGGAGGCGTTGGGGGGGGGGCGGCAGGCAGCGGGATCGGGAAGACAATCCTTTCCTATGGGAAGGGAAGGGTCCCACGCGCGCGCGCGCGCACACACATTTTTGCTTTAAAGCCCTGGATTCTGCGTTGGCGGCTGGCGCTTACCAGCAAAAAGAGAAGCATTTTCCTCTTTTTACAAAGATACAAGGCAACACCCATGATTTGCCCGCCAAAAGATTCAATATGCAAGCTGGCTGCGTTGCAACTTTCATACATTAAAAAGAAATCTATTCCACACCCTTGCTAGAAAAGTTCACACTGCATTTTTCACCTGTTCCTCAGAACTCTGATCCACACACACACACCCCGCCCCGTCCCTCTGCCGGCTGCGGCTTTTCTTACAGCCAGCCTCATGTTTAAATGTAGATGTGCGTATAGCTGAGACTTCTCGCCCAGGGCGACCTTTACTTGACATCCATGTCAATATATATGTCTGTGTGTGTGTGTACACACACATATACACCCTTCCTATATTCTGCAAAGAATATAACATGAGCCGAGTGTGCAAACATCCTCACGTTTGCTTATTTGGGGGAGAAAAAAATCCCATAATTTAGCAACACTTTCTGTGTATGAGTTGTCATGTACAAGGTTGTGTGGATCAAGGTCCCATGGCAGCTAAGTGGAGGGCAGTTGAAATAAAAGATTGTTAAGGTGTGGAATTATATCGGTTATCTCAGTTGAGCATTTTACGGTAGTCCTCAGGAGTGCAGAAAAAAATCAGCTGCTGTGATACCTGGGCAGGTAAATTTCGAGCGAAGGAAAGAAATGGAGACAGGTGACCCTTTCCCATAATTCGAATGAGGGCAGGAAGGATGTAAACAGAGAATTTTGAGAAATGTCATTTAAAGCACTTAGTGTCGTATATGCCATTTTACTATATCACCAAAGGGCTGTGCATGTTTTTCAGACCGTCTTAGGTTTGAGATACTAAATGCATGCAGGAACATTGATTAGAAATGATAAAATTGTGGGTAATTTCTGAAAACCGACAAGAGTACAAGATTTGTAGCTGGGGGTTGAGCTTGGGGTCTTTAATGCTCTCTGAGTTTGGTGGTTTTCTTGCAGACGTTTCATGACCCAACTAGGTAACATTGTCAGTGCTAGCTGGTCACAAAATCCGTGCAAGAAAACCACCAAGCTAAGAGAGCCACAAGTTTCTGGAACTGACTCAAAGATAGTGTGGAATTGGATTTTCTAGGTTATTGAATTACATCTACAGAGTTGGGCTCAGAGGCAGCAGAAACAAAAGTGTGTAGATAAAACTGAGTTTTACCTGGAGCCTTATGGATGTCCGCAGGTGCCTGCTTTTCAGGACTCTGCCCTTGTGCCACCTAAGAGTCAGGAGTAAATCAGGAGCTTCTTGATTAAAAGCTGTGGCAGCTTTTGCACGGATTGAAATATAACTTTCCGCAGTTGCGATTTGCACACTCGGCTCACGTTGTATTCTCTGAATGAGGAAGGGCGTGTATATGTGAACTTTTCTAGTTGCATTTCATCACTAGGAAGGCTGAAAGGGATTTTTTTTTTATGTGTGAAAGCTGTAATGCAGCCAGCTTGCACATTGAATCTTTGGGCGGGCAAATCGTGGGTGTGTTGCCTTGCATCTTTGTAAAAAGAGAAAAATTATTCTTCTCTTTTTCCTGGTAATTGCCAGGCGCCCACACAGAATACAGGGTATTAAAACAAAAAAATGAGTTTGTGTGGCATGTGCCCTTCCCATAGAAAAGGGTCACCTTCCCAGTCCTGCAGACCCAGCTCACCCTTTGTGTTTTGGTGCATGGAGTTTGCAAAGTTTTGTGTGTGAAGCCCAGCGGAAACGGGGCACATTCAGCCTCAAAGTGATGAGAAAAGTGACCCCTCCCAGCCCAGAAGCAGCCCCTTTTGATCTGGGCAATGTCTGGGATTGCCGTATCCCATTTTGTGATTTTCTACCAGCAACGAAATCCCTGAAAGGCCCGGTGGGTGGTTGAGGGGCACCCACCTCTCCTTCCCAAGGAGGCGTCCCCTCCCCATCCCACTGCGGCTGCCGTCCTCCCCCTCCCGTCCCCTCCCCTCATGCCTTCTCTTTCTCTCTGCAGCCTTGAAGAGTCAGAGGATGGCCAGTTTCAGCCTTGGCCTCTTCCTTGGCCTGGTGCTTGCACCCTTCGCGGCCAGTGAGTGACCTCTCCCTCCAACCTGCAGGGAAGACCCCCCTGTAACCGAAAGAGAGGAGGGGGCTCTCCCATTTCTCTTATGGGTCCTACAGCTCAATCTCCTGAGCGATGGTGGTGGGGGGAACACAAAGCCAACCTGTGGGCGTTCGGGGCCTCACCCGTTTCCTGCCCTCGCAGATGCCCAGGCTGACCCCTGCCCCAGCGGCTGGCTCGCCTACAACGGCCACTGCTATGGCTACTTTGAACAGGAGATGAACTGGCAACAGGCGGAGGTGAGTCAGGGCAGGGGAGAGGGGCCCGGCTGGGATTGGGCCCTCTGCGTTGGGAGTTGGCCGGTGGCACTGCCAGGGGTTGAGCCTGCAGCGGTGCCAGGGAAGGGAGCAACTGTGAGGAACTGCAGCTTCTCTGTGCCACGGTGGTCTCCCCACCACCCACTGAATCAGAGCCCGTGAGTTTGAGCGAGGGGGCTGGAGAGCCCATCAGCTGCTGGGCAGGGAAACACAGGTGTCCACTGGGAAGATGAACTGCTGCCCACTTGACCTCAAGGGTCGAGGCGTCACTGGACGGTTTGCAGCCTCTGGCCATTTTTGCTTTAACCATAGTCACTTTAAGATGGGTGAACTTCAACTCCCAGAATTCCCCAGCCAGTGCCACCCCAAGGCCAGGCAGCCGGCTTCCTCCACAGCCTCTCTGCCTCTCTCCGCCTCCAGGCCTTCTGCCAAAGCCACAATGGCCACCTGGCCTCCATCCAGACCCGTGAGGAGCACCAAGCCGTGTCCGACTTCCTGCAAAAGGCTCAGTGGTGGGAGCACGAGGACGTGTGGTTGGGGCTCTTCCTTCCATCCCACGTGAGTGACCGGGGTGGTGATGGCTTGTGGTGGCCCTGCTCCCTCTGCCCGCCGGGACAGCTCACTCGGGCCCCGGCCCCTCCCCCAAGTGACCAGTCCCCATGTCCTGGCTTCTGCCTTTAGAGCCAGACCTGGACTTGGGTGGACGGCACCCCCGTGGGCTACACCGCCTGGGAGAAACATTACCGCCGCCGCTGGGACTCTTGTGCTGCCCTGGAGGACTCTTACGGTAAGGGCCGGAGTGCAGGGGAGTGGGCTCCACTCTGGACAGCGCAGACCCTCCCTCGGAATGAAATAGGGCAAAATTTCCGTTTGACCAGTCTCTGAAGACCCCCTCCCAGTTCCCAAAACCTGAGGGGGAGATAGCACAATGCCACCACTTACGACCACAGATGAGCCCAACATTTCTGTTGCTAAGTGAGACAGCTATTAAGTGAGTTTTGCTCCATTTGACCACCTTTCTTGTCAGTCATTAAGTGAATCCGGCATCCCCGTGGACTTTGCTGGTCAGAAAGTGGCAAAAGGGGGGAGTCACATGATCCTGCAACCCTCATAAATACGAGTCAGTTGCCAAGTGTCCGAATTCTGATAACTGTCATAAGTGTGAAAAACGGCCGTAAGTCACTTTTTTCCACTGCCATTGTAACTGTTCTAAGTCGAGGAGTACCTGTACCTGAAGCCCCCAGCCCCACTTCTTGACCCACAGGGGGCAGCTTTGTCTTGGTCAGCACAGCGTGTGCCCAACTGGCACCTGTGAAAAAGGGGGAGGCCAGAAGCCACGCTGGGCGCTAAGCGGGGCCCCTGCCGGCTGCAGAGACACCTGAGGCTCAGAAGCCTCCTTAAAGTAGGGGGGTCCTGGGGGGGCATCGATGATCTGCTGCTGGGCAGGAGGATTGCCCAAAGGAGCCTCCGGGGGGGCACGATGCAAGAGGACCAAATTTGCAGGTGCCCATTCACAGGTGGTTAAAGGCCAACTGGCAGCCGAGGGTCCAGCTGAGCTTGGCGAGGACCCTTCCCAGGAAAGCCGGCTGGCAGCCCCCAACCCCTCCCCAGACCTGATCCCCCCCCTTTTCTTTCCAGGATTCCTGCTGTGGGACGACGAATCCTGCTACGACCGGAACCCCTTCCTCTGCAAAAGCTTGGCAGCAGCCGCCCCCCAGGCAAGCCAGGCCTGAGTCTGCCTTGTCACCCCCAGGAGAAAGCCCAGAGCTGCCTGTCCACCTCCCCCCCCTTCCACCCACCCCCCCATCCATCCTCCCCCCCCCAGGCCTCTCTCTCCCCACAACGCCTGCCTGCCTTGCAATAAACCTTTTCTGAGCAAAGGACCTCTTCATTCATTGCTTTGGGCCTGCTGCACTTTTTTGGGGGGGGGCGAGATCCCACCCCCTCCTAGACCCAACACCCTCCCCCTCCATCTGCCCTCCAAGGGTCGCTTCGCCCTTTTGCACGGATGCCTCCGGATTTGGCCTGACCTTTGCAGTGGGGTCTCTCCCCCACCCCCCCCACTGGAGCTTCACAACATGCAGCAGCCCAGGCAAAATCAGGTCGCTTCAGACAAGGGGGTCCCCAAAGGCATCCTCCTTTATAAGGGACATCACAGGGTCACCGCTCTGCCGCCCCCTCCCTGCCAGCCCACCAGGCGCCCCCAGGGCAGCTCCGCAGGGCAGGAGACGCAGTCGGCCGGCTGGCACCAGCCTCGACGACGCCCGCTGTGGCCGGCCGGCCTGGCTAGCTCCGAGGAGGCCGGCTGCCGCTTCCGTGGGGCTCTCAGCAAAGGCCCCCAGCTCAGCGGGCCACTCGCCTGGGCTGCACGTCCAGCAGAGCGGCAATGTCCACCATGGCCTGACGGATGTTCTTCCCGAAACGCGTGGAGTCCTGGGGGGGCGGAAGAGGCATCACTCAGGGCAGGAGGGGCAGCGCCTGGAGCCGACCGATGCGGGCTGGGGAAGGGGGTTCTCCCTGGCATCGGCCCTCCTCTGCCCCAGCCTGCCCCCCGCCACGGCTCCTTCCTCGGGCACACTCACCGTTTCGGGGCTGGAGAACTTGCTGGAAATATGAAATGTGATCAGGTTCTCGCCGGCAATGATGTAGGAGACCCCGTAGCCATCGTCAGCCACCTGCAGGAGGGAGGGACCCCGAGGGGCCAGGCTGAGGCCGGAGAGACCAGCCGCTGGGCATGGGGGGGCCCCGGGCAGAGGCGTCTAGGACGGCCCCTTGGCGTGCCTCGCCAGAGCCCTGCCTCTGGGCTCCATATCCCTCCCCTCCCCTCCCTTTCTTCTTCCCTCCCTCTTATCTTTTCCCCTCCCTCCCTCCGGCTCTTCTGTCTGTGGCCCACATTTCGCCACGTCCCAAAGAAGCAAAGCACCGCGCCCCACCTTCCAAGGCAGCCTCCTAGCCATATCAGTTGTGGGGCAGGGGAGGGAGGGAAGGGGGGCGCTCTCCCTGGGCAAAGCCCTCCCCATCCCAGGAGAAGGTGACACACTGGGCTGATTTTGGCCCATCCCCAAAGCCCAGAGGGGCCAGGCCTTCCGTTCTTGGATGAGAGACCCCCATGAAGGGGTTGGTGGGGTGGGGAAGTGGGCAAGCTCCTCCCCTCCTGCCCCCCCCAAGTTCAAGTGGGAACTTTAAGGGAAAGCTTAAAGCTTAAAGCCTCGGTCACCGCCTCCCCTCCTGACTCTGGCTGCCCTCCCTCCCTCCCTCCCTCCCTCCCTCGGGGCATTAGGACCTTGGCACTGACCGTCTGTCCACACAGCCTCCGTCCATTCCCTGCTTCCCCCTCCCCCCCGGCCGGCCTACTCACCGGCCCAAAGCCTCCGCCGGAGGAGACGTAGTCCGGATAGGCCTCCAGGCTCAACATCTTGATCTGCTGCTGGGGGGTCTGGCTGGTGGAGAGGCGCCAGGGCTCGGACAGCACCTGGGAGGGGGGAGAGGAGGGGTCCCCCCCAGCCAGGTCAGCTTCTCTTCCCTCTCAAGCTACAGCCCAGTGGGCGACCACCTCCCCCCCAGTCCCCCCCCTCAGGCTGGCCTTGGTGCAGGTGAGCCCCTCCCAAAAGCCTGGGGGCTTCAGGCCAGCTTCCCAAGGAGGGGGTGCTGCTTTGCTGGCAGCCCAGTGGTTGGGGGAGCCCCAGAAAACCTGGCCCCCAGCCCCTCGGTGCATCCCAGCCCTTCCTGGGGGCCTCTGCTCAGGAGGGCTTCCCCACAGGCGCTGCTTCTGGGACAGTCCAGCCAGGCAGGGGCTTCCCCTAAAACCTGTGGGGCTGGATCCTTCCCTTCTGGGGCCCACTGCCCCCCCTGCCCGTTTCCGGCTGTCCGTGTGGCCCCTTTGTTGGCACCTGCTGGGTGACCGGGGGGGGCGGCAGAGCGGCTGCGGAAGGGGGCAATGGGGGGGGCAGGGCTCCCATGCCTCCTCCTCTCCAGGGCCCCCCCAGAAGCCCCTCTCCCTCGGGGCCTGTGACTCCCGGCCAAGCCGGCCAGGGGCCCCTCACCTTGTCCAGAAAGGGCGACTTCTCCCCGAGGTAGCGCGACATCACGTAGAGGCAGAAGAGATGCCGGTCAATGCCGGCCCCCGTCATGGCCAGGCGGTACATCTGCTGGTGCTTCTCGGCCGCCGCCCGGAAGAGCTGCAGGCGGTCCAGGGGCTACGGGGAGACCGGATGGGGGGGGTTGATGCCCAGCCAAATCAGCCACTTGGCTTCTGCAGGGCGTCTCCTGCGCTGGAGGTCAGCTTGAGCCACTTTTGCCCAAATTCCCCCTCTCTATCCTGACCCCGCCTCCATTGGGAGCCCCCTGGAAGCCCCCTCCCCCGATCGTCCTCCAAGTTACGAAGGAGCTTCTCTTGCTTAGGTGGCCCCAGGTTCTGAGTGGCCTAATCTGGGTGCAACTTCCATGCCCCCACTGAGCCCTTAAAAAAGCATCACGGGCTCCCCTGGGCACTGCCCGCCTGTCCCCACCCTGACCAGGGGGGACTGGAGAGCCCCAGGCAGCTGCATCTGAAGCGCCCCGGATTTCATCCCTGCCTCTGCCCACTGCACAACAGCTGGACAACCACCAGGCTGCCCTCCGCTGGATCCCCCAGAGCCCCTCTCATACCCCTCCTGGCAGATGGCAATCTGCACCTCAAATTGGCTGCTCTGGGGCTTCCGGGACGCCAACCCACCACCCACGGAAGGCAGGGGTGGGGCTGCGGAGGGCGCAGGATGGAGCCTGGCATCGGGGGGGGGACACTCACGCTGCAGTTGGGGTCGCTCATGCTGAGCACGAAGGCCGTGGCCTCGCTGGTGCAGGAGCGCACCGTCTCCGTCCGGCCCTCGCGGAAGAGCCGCGTCATGGAGGCCTCGTAGGTGAGGCAGAAGTGGCCCCTGTCCTGGGGGAGGAAGACAAAGGCCTTGGCACCCCCACAGCCTCCACCTCCCCGCCCCTGGGCACTCCCTCCCCGCCCCCCCCTACCCGGAAGTGGGCCAGCTGCAGGGCGATCTGGATGAAGCTGTCGGGGCTGGTCCGGCCTTTCTTGATGAGCCCTTTGCCGAAAGTGGAGAAGCAGAAGCAGCAGAAGTCCACGTCATCGGCCAGCGCCTGGGCCTCGCCGTAGGAGGCATCGATGGTCTGGATGCACTGGGGGGGGGGAGGGGGAGAGCCAGCTTGAGAGGGTGCCTGGCATCCATGAGCCGGGGGGGGCTCCCTCCCCGTGCACGAACTTCTCCACCCAAATTGAGAGGAGCTGAGGACGAGGCACACGCCCAGCCCTGTGCCAGCAAAGCGCCATCCTGGTCTTGGCACGACACAACAAGAAGTCAATGAACCACCCTGTGGCTGGTGGGGTTCCCAGTTGCGGTGGGGTTCCCACAACCACAGCGCCCCACTTGACCCGGCGTGGCTCTCTGGTGAGCTAGCCAGTCTGTGCCAGCTTTCCACAAGGGAGGGCTTTGCCCCTCGGATCGGGGGGGTGGGGGTGGGCTCTGGCAGGGAGGCTTTAACGGGGATCCCTGCAGTCAACAGGAGGCTGGACTGGATGGCCTCAAGGGCCCCATCCTACCCAAGGCAACTGCTGGGCAGACTTTCGTTCTCTCAACAACCTTCACACACAACATCCCCATCGTGGGGTCTCCCACCTGCTTCTTAGGCAGGGTAATTCTCGGGGTGTGTGTGTGTGATACTCAGGGAAGGACCCACCTCCTTACCACTGGGCCCCCCCCTCTGGACGGGCCCCAGACCTACCTCTTCTGGAAGGTCCCAGACCAAACGCTGAGGAGGGGGCAGATCGGTGTTGGGCACCCCTTGGCAGTGCCCGCCATTGCAGTAACCCAACTGGAGCTGGTCTGCCGCCAGCATGAACTGGGAGGGAGGAGGGAAAGGGCACCCCAGGGTTAGACAGCTTGCTCTGGCCTCCCAATCCCATCAGCCTGCCCCCCAAGCAGTGCTGGAGCACTGAACAGGCTGTGGCCCTTCCTGGGGCCTCGGCAGGGACCCCTGAAGGGAGACCGACGCGGTCGCTTACCTCCCAGAGGTGCCCCATGACGGGGGCGTCGGCCCACGAGTGCTCGGCGTTGCCCCCCAGTTTGCCGTTCTGGTAGACCACCAGCGTGAAGGACTTGTCGAACCACCTGTGGGAGGGAGCCCAAGGCTGGCAGGGCCTCCGGGAAACCCCTGCAGCCCTCCCCTCTCCAGGGGGGGGTCTCAGGGGGGAGGGGTGCAGAATTCCCAGGACCAAGATGACCCCCTCCCCCGCCTTCTTCCTGCTCTCTGCCCGAAGCTCATCAGGGCCAGAGGGAGGGGAGGGGCCCTGCCCAGCCCCACAGTATCCGGGGAGGGGGGCGGCCCCTAAAGGAAAACAGTGGGGTCCAGGGTGGAGAGGGGACAGCTCAGTCTAGTGGTTAAGGCATTCAATTGAAAAGCAGCAGACGGCGAGTTCTAGTCCTGCCCTAGCCGTGAAAGCCGTCTGGGTGGCCTTGGGCCAGTCCCTCTCTCCCGGCCCTCTCCACCTCACAGGGTTGTTGTGGGGGAAAACAGAAGTACAGGCAGTCCTCGACTTACAATGGTGAGTTTAGTGGCCATTCAACATTATGACGGCATTAAAAAACGTGACGTATGACCATTTTTCACACTTACGACTTTTGCAGCATCCCCAGGGTCACGAGATCAACATTTGGATGCTCGGCAACCGGTTCCTGACTTACGACAGTCGCCGTGTCCCAGGGGTGTCACGTGATCCCCTTTTGCGACCTTCTGACCAGTAAAGTCAGTGGGGGAAGCCAGATTCACTTAACGACCGAGTTACTAACTTATCCACTGTGGGGATTCACTTAACGACTGTGGCAAGAAAGGTCGTAAAATGGAGCAAAGCTCAACTAATAACCGTCTCACTTAGCAACAGAGCTTAGCGGAGGACGAAGGAAGGAGCACTCGCAACCCCAAGTAATTGGCAATGGGAGCGAAAGGCAGGGGGCAGGTAAAGAAGGCCTGCCCCTCCCCCCCCCGGTGCCAGGGCTGCCCTCACCGGTCGTTGCAGTGCCCGTGCAGGAGGCTCTTGGCGTAGTCGCTCAGGCTCTCCTCCCGCTCGGGGCTGTAGCCTTGCGCCTCCTCGTCCAGCGCCAGGAAGAAGGCGGCCCGGTCGATGCAGTCCAGCGAGGCCCGGTTCTTGCCCCGGCTGAAGAACTTGGCACGGGCCTCGGCCCAGGGGACCCTGAGGGAGAAGGAGGGGGGCCTGGGTGCCACTTGCGCCTCCGGACCAGCAGCCCCTTCTCCGGCCTGGCTCAGGGTGCAGGCGGACTCCCGCGGCGGGGGGCCTCCCTCTACCCCCCCCACAAGGGCTACCTGCTCCCTGCGGTGAGGGCCGCCAGCCTCTGCTCCCCGGGCAGCGGAGGGGAGGGGTCGTCCAGGATGCGCTGGAACTGCATCTCCAGGTCCCGGGGGGGCAGCTGCTTCCCCGCCTGGTACAGCCACACTTTGAAGAAGCGCCCTCGGTGGAAGACGGCCAGGTGCCGGCTGTCGACCAGGTGCAGCAGGGAGTCTGGGGGCCGTGGGGGTGGGCGTGAGTGGCAGGCCACACCCCCCACGGTCCCTGAAGGGCCATGGGGCCTGACCCAGCGGTTCTGCTCCGGCCCCTCTTGCCCCCTTCAGGGGCTTGAGATGAGAGCCAGGGTGTGGGGTCTCCGGGTCAAAAGTCAACGCTCCGGCTTCTCTGTTGAAAAGGGCTGGCCGGCCTCCTTCCGGGGCCAAAGTTTGGACAGAAAGGGACTTAAGCCCCCCCTCCATTTGGGTCCATTTCTGATTTCAGGCCAAAGCTGTTATTACAGGCAGTCCTCGACATGCCGTCACGGTTCATTTAGTGGCCGTTCAAAGTTACAACGGCACAGAAAAAGGGACTTATGACCGTTTTCCAGTTACGACCTTTGCGGCATCCCCAGGGTCACGAGACCAAAATTCGGACGCCTGGCAACTGACTCGTGTTTATGACCGTTGGCACGTCCCAAGGCCACGCGGTCTCCTTTTGCGACCTTCTGGCAAGCCGGGTCAGTGGGAGGGCCAGTTCTACTTAGCGACCGGATTACTAGCTTATCACCCGTGGTGGTTCACTTAACAACCGTAGCGAGAAAAAAAGGAGGAAAACTCACTTAACCTAAGGTCTGGCTTGTGGTCGTAAGCCAAGGACCACCTGTGTTGCGGGGGGGGGGTCAGGGGGCTGGGGGGCCTGGGACCCCTCAGAGGCCCAGGGCTATTCTTCCCCCAGGAAGAATGTCCACCTGCAGGGGCGTCTCCCTCCCCCAGCGCCGCCCACCTGCCTCTTTGCCAGGGATGCGCGTTGTGTTGAACATCCGTTCCATCTGATAGGAGCACATGGGCACCACGCCCAGCGCCATCACCTGTGGGCAGAAACGGGTCGAGCGGGATTCCTTCGGGGACGCCTTTCCCTCTAGAAGGCTTCTGGGGAGGTGCTGTGTGGGGAGCCAGGCCTCTTGTAGCCCCCCCATCCCACTTTTACTCACGGGTTCAAGCTCTTCCCGGTCCAGCTGGCGACGGTACTTCAGGATGGCATGGACGCAGTTGCCGGCTCGGGCTGCCTGGATGGGCGTGGGGGTGATGTAGAGAAAGTCCTGCCCGGGGAGGGGGTGGCGGAGAGAGGAAGCAGCCGATGATTACCTGGCAGGCAAGGAAGGACCCTCTGCCGGGCTCTGCCCCACGGAGCCCTCTGCCACTCACCATGAGGTAGTAGTTGCTGTTGACCATGATGGGGCCTCTCCCCCGCAGGTAGATGTACTCCTCCCACCAGTCGCTCACCTGTGGCACAGAAGCATCCTTGGGGGGAGCCTGCCGGGGTGGTGGGGGTCTCCTAGGGGAGGTTCCAAGGAGTGGGGCGCCCATGCTGGCTGGGGCAGCTGGGCTGGGGCGTGACGGTGGGGGGGGGCAGCCCAGCCCAGCCCAGCTACTCACATAGTTGGTGGCCCACCAGGACTTGAGGAGCAGGAACCTCTGGAGGCGGGGGGCCAACTTCTGCTGGAAGTCCCTGGCCAGGGCCTCCATCTGCTCGTACTTCTCCTTGTCCAGCAGGGGCTGCACAGAGTCCAGGTACTGCCGGCAACAGAGCATCAAGGTCCACTACTGGCTCCCCCCCTCCCCCAGCCCCTCTTGGGCCCAGAGACACCCCCCCCTTGCTTGCCCACAGTCCCAGTGGCCGAAGGGGGGGGGTGAGACCGGTGGGTCCCCCGCACGAGCACAAGCCCCATTGCATCAGGCAGCCTCTGCTTTAGCCCCACAGACCGGACTGGGAGGAGGGGTCTCTTCTCTCTGGGGATAGGGAGCCCCCCCCTTTCAAATTGGGGCATGACACGCCTGGGGTCTGTTGGCCCCACTGAGGGAAGCTCCCAGGCCTGGCCCAGCCAGAAGCAGCAACTGGGACATCACCCGGCCCCCTCCCTCCCAGCAGGAAGAGTCAAGAAGCAGGGGGCTGCAGGCAGACCCCCCCCTTCAGACACGGAGAACCCACTTAGGGCTCCTCCCTGCCCCCATCCCATTCCTGGCCCACACTCCAGGCAGCAGCCCCTTCTCCCCACAGCGCCAAGAGGCCCACCCACAGCTCAGGGCAGCTGCCCCCTCCCCCCCCCCGTGTTCGGTGGCTGTGGGACGGGGTGGGCAAGGAGAGCAGCCCTTCTCACCCTACGGACGGTGTCCTCCACGCTGGGTACCGGCAGCTTGGGCAAGGAGGTCTGGAAGCTGTAGAGCATGGGGTGGCGCCCGGACATGACTTTCACCAGGGCCTGCGAGGGGACGGCGGTCAGGCAGGCAGGGGGAGGGGCAGGGGCCTCTGCCCCGGGCAGCCCCACCCCACTCAGGCCCCCAGCCCGGCCCCCTCGTCTCGCGGGGAGCAAGAGGGAGCTGAGGGGCAAGGCTCCCCTCCCCTGCCAGAGAGGGGCCTGCCCCGGACCCCCTGGGCCTCACCACCCAGGCTTTGGTGCTGAAGCTCGTCTTGCCGTGGGGCTCGAACATCCAGCCGTGGTAGGAGAGCAGCAGCTTCAACATCTGGCGGCGAAGCCAAATGCCCAGGATCCAGAGGCCGGTGGAGAAGAGCAGGGCGCTGAGCAGGGTCTGCTGGCGGAGGTTGAAGTAGCAGCTGCAGCTGGAGGGACACGGTGGTCCGAGCAGGTGAGTGGCTGGAGGGGGGGGTCTTCCCCTCACTGGAGCTTTGCAAAGAGGGGCTGGATAGTCATCCGTTGGGATGGTGTAGGAGAGTGCAGTATGTGGGTGGAGTGGGGTGGGGTGGGCTTGATGACCTCTGAGATTCCTTACAGCTCCCAAGGGCCCTGCTGAGGAGGGCTGAGTTGTGTCCCAGGAAAGGAGGGGGAGAACCTCCATGCTCAGAGGTCAAGAGGGGTGAAGCAGGGCCCTTGAGGAAGGGGGTATAGGCCCCCCCTTCAGACACGGCCTTGGGAAGACACGGCTGCCTTCTGGAGTTCCCCTGCCCCCCCCCGTGCCTCAACCCCCCTTCCAAACGCTGCATTGAGCCCTTGAGGGGGTGGGATTACGGCTGCAGGACCCCCAGGTCTTCCCAGAGCCCAACCATCCCCCCCCCAGGAGGCCCCCCTGCAAAGGGCCGGAGAGCAGGCAGCTGCATTGCTCCGGGTGCAGCTCCTGCTAGGGCCCAGGAGGGAGGGGTCAGGACTGGCCCTCACCTGGTGGGCAGGTGCCTCTGGATGCTGCTGATCACCCCCCGGGAGAGGTCCACGTGGACCCACGTGCTGCCCACGGTCACGGCGGTGATGGCCAGCCAGCCGGAGGGGGAGCCAGGATACACCCCGGTCAGGAAGCTGTTCTGTGAAATGGGCCCTGTCAGAGGGGGGTCTTTGGAGGACCGGAAGCCCCCACCTCCCGCCCGGGACAGAGACCACCCTGACAACAGAGCCTGGGAGCCACCACGGCCCCCATTTCATCCCCCCAACCGGGTGTCTCTAGTATCAGGGGGGGAGGACCCCCCAGGCTTAGGGCCACCTCACCTGCCCCTTCTCTGCCTTCCAAAAGCTGGCCAAGCAACCACACAGCTGGGGTCCCTGGCCGAAGTGGGGGTGCACCCAGCGATTGGGATGGGCTGTGCCCCCCCCCATGTTCAGCCTGCCAGGGGAGGGGAGGGGGCTCCCAGGAAGGCAGCCAGGCCAAGGTCCGGCCACTCGCTCACCCTCAAGCCACAAAAAAGTATGACCTGTGGGGTGAAGAGATGTGGGGGCTCCCCCCATGTGGCCACCCCCCAGTTCACCTTCAGCCGGATGAACCGTTTCTTCCAAGAATGGAGGCCCGACAGGTAGATCTGCTTCAGCGCTTCCTGGCTCAGCCGGAAGTCCACCCCGTCTGGGGTGACCGTGAACTGGAAGGCGACGGCCTGGTGGGCTTCCGCCATCTTGCCTGGAAGGGGGAACCGGGGCAGGGGTCCTCACCTGGTGGCCCTTCCCCTTGGGAGGCCCACACAAAGCGGTGCGCCTTAGCTTGCCCCCACTTTCTGCCCCCTCGCTCCCCTAACCTGGAGTCCTCTGGGGCAGGGACTCTGCTGCAGGCCTACCACCCGTACAGCCCGTGTGCTGCCCCTTCTTGGCCATGTAGTCCCACGGGTCCCGGCTCTGGAGGCTCCGTGGGCCGATGCCAGGAAGCCAGAACCTTCCCATTCCCGCCCCCCCCCCATCCCACTAACCTGGAAAGGCGGCTTTAGGCTCAGGGTCAGCAGCAGCAGCAGCCCCTCGGCAGAGCCTGGAAAAAGGGGGCACTCTTGGGGGGGGGAGAAGAGCTTCAAGGCTTCCTTCGCTCTCTCTCTTTTTGCCCTAGACCTGTGGGGAACACGCAGGGTCCGGGGTCAAGGTCGCCATGAGGGCCTGGGGGCAAAGCTTCCCTTCCCGTGGGGCTTCCCTCACCTCCCCCCCCCCAGCCAGCTGAGCTGCAGCCACCCAGGACTGTTTACACAAGGAGCCAGTTGGCCGGCAAGGCTGTTCCGTCACGTGAGGCTGGCATCCCATGCTGGAATCAGGGGCAGGGGGGGCAGGGTGGGTGGGTGCCCCCCCTCTCTCTGCCCACCAGCCGGGAGGGGAAAGGGCCTCGGAGGCTGCTGGTGAAAGACAGCCCCCCCCCAGGGAATTTATGCTGGGAATTTATCATTATTATTTACTATATTTAAGAACAAGCCAGAGTTCTCCGCTCCAGCCCTGCTGCCTCGGGAGCCGGCCCCGCGCTGGGTGCGAATGGAGGGGGCCTCTCCAGCTGAGCTGGCTCGGGGCCCAGCATTTGTGGGCAGGGGTGCCAGGCGGCCGGCTTCCTCGGAGCAGGGCTGGAGCGGAGCCTGGCAGCAGGTGGCCCAACCCTCCGTGTCCCCTCCCTGGCAATATCCAGGAGACCCTTCCTCAATCCACAGACTTCTGGGATGGGCTTTCCTTGGCAGCGTGGGATTTTTGGGTGTTGGGTCCCCTCCCCCGTTGGAGATCAGCCAAGGGCCGTCACCCAGCCAGCCCCACCCTCTCGGCCCCGAGGCTCCCCTCTCAGGAAGTCCAGGCCGGCCCCTAAGGTCAGCCTCCTCAAGGTGAAGGTCTGCTCTGGACTTGGGAAGGGGGAGGGGGGAATAGTACAGGGTCTCCCGTTGGAGCAGGGAGTTGGACTAGAAGACCTCGGAGGTGCCCTCCAGCTCTATTCTGATTCTGGACTCCAGGGATTTCCGGTAGCCCCCCCAGCCCGCCCCCGATTCTGCCCGTGCAGCTGTCCTAAGAAAGCCCCCTCCAGCGGCTCTCCCCACGGAGACAGCCTGGGGGGCTGCAGCTGTGGCAAGGAAGGGCGGCGGGGAGGGGGTCTTCGGGCAGCCGGGGTCCCCAGGGGAAGGGAGGTTTTGGAGCAGCAGGAGCCCCCAGGGGAAGGCTTGATCTGGACTTCGGAAGGGGGGGACTCACTGGCATCTCCCGAGACCCCCACTCCGGGGCCCCGGACCAGTGATGGGCGGCGGGGAGGGCGGCCACTTTCTCGGGGGGCCTCCGGGGGCTGAAGGGCTGGAGCTCCTGCCCGGACGCCCTTCCTGCCTCCCCGGGCGCGCCAGGCCACCCCGCGCGGGCCGAAGGGCCCCACTCCCGCCCCCGCCCTGGGCAGCCCCGGAGCTCACCGGCCGGACGGGGAGGCTGCTCGGTCCGCGCGGGAGAAGGCGGGGGCCCCGTGACCGCGGCCCTCCCCCCGGTCGGCGGCGGCGGCGGCCCTCCTGTAACCGGACACCCGGCGGGGGCGGCGGCTGCCCTACTTGGAAAGGGGAAGCGGGCGGCGCCTCCAGCCCCTCCCCCTATTCTCGGCCCCCGCGGGGGGGGGAGAGGAGAACGGAAGGGAAGCCGCCCCGTCCAGCACCCAACGGGGCCCCGCTGCCCCCTCTCCGCCGCCGCCGCCGCCTCCGAGGGCGAAGCGGGCAGTCTGCCGGGGGGGGGGGCGGGGTGTCCTGGCGGGCTCGAAGGAGGCGAGGCACCCACGAGGCTTTCCACGCGCGGTTCCCGATCAAAGACCAGCCGGCCCCGAGCGGGGCGGCCCTTGCAGGCGCGGCGCTTCTCCGGCTGCCTCGAGCGCCCGTTTGAAATCGCGGAGCGCAGAGCAGCGCGACCGGGGGGGGGGCGGTCGGGGGCCCCGGAGGCTTCGCAGCGCCTTTGCCCGGGGATCGCCCCGCCTGCCCGCCCTTGGCCGCCTCCGCCACGTCGCCGCCCCCGCCGCCCGGCCCGCCTCTTCCCCATTCTGCGCCCCAGATCCCTCCCCGGCCGAGGGGGCTTCTCGCGGGGGCAGCGGGGCCCGGGCACCGCGGGCTCGGCGGGGCCCAAGCAGGGGTGGAGTGGGCCGTTGCGCCCATCCTGCTCTCCAGGGGCCTTGGCGCGCCTTTGTGCAGGCGCGCGGCGGTCTCAGGATTCCGCCCAACCGTCGCCCTGGCCGCGATTCCGCCCCCCCCCCCCGCGCCCCGGCTCAGCCCCGGCTCTGTGCACCTCGACTCGCCCCTTCGCCCCACTTTCCTAGGCGGGGACGCGTGCAAAGCAGCCCGCTCCCAGACGCGGGTCAGGGCTGAAAGGCGAAGAAGGCCCGGTGCCCCGCCTGGCCGCGCCTTCCTTGCCACGGGGCCACTCGTAGCCGCGGGCGGTCCCCGTTCCCACGACACGAGCCAGAGTTGCTTCGAGGTACTGCGGGAAGTGGGAGACCCTGCGGCCGCCCCTCTCCGGGCCTGATCTCCTCTGCTCGGCGCCTGCCGGGGGCGCCGGCGGGACCCCGGCCTGGAAGCATGCGGCCCCGGATTGTAGGGTTCGGACCGGCCGGCAGGCCGACGCAGAGCCTTCCCGGGCAAGGAGCGGGTCACCGGGCGGGTCTTTCTCTGCGTTCTCCGGGCGGGTTCGCACAACACGTAACAGTTCAAGTAGAAGCCCAGCAGACACATTCACACGACATGCTCAGCTGGCTAGGAAGCATTGCTTGGTTTTTGTTTTTGTTTTTATTTTCTGATTTATCGCCTTCCCGGAGTCACTCAGGAAACAACAGTTATCTGCTCACTGGCTAGGGCTAGGCTGGGCTAGGCCACGAGCTCTTCCGGGCATCCTGGGCGGTTCACACGACAGCCTGAACCAGGCCGGGGCACAAAGCTCCAGCAGATGCATCTGCCCAGCACGCTTTGCCCCTTCTTGGTGTAAAGCTGCGTGCGTGCTGTCAATGCAGCAAACGGGGTAAGCGAGTGAGCTGCAACGGGGGAAACCGATCGGTGGTGTGAACGTGTGACAGAAATTTCCAGTTTGCAAGAAGCTGCTTAACTGTTTGCCCAGGGAATCTATCAGGACGGGAAATTGCGACTGGCTCCTTTGACTGCAGGTTAAAGGTCAGCTGCACATTGAGGGGAGGCCCTCTGGTAGGGAAAGGGAGGTCGCTCAGCCCCCCCCCCAGCAGAGCCCCTCATCCTGATGTGCCCACTAGACTCAGGCTAAGCCATGGTTCCGTTCATTATCATTTGTTGCGTAACCAACAAACCAAGCTAAACGATGGCTTGAGCGGGGTTCTGGGTGGCAGAGGCCAAGCGAGAGCTTCCTTGGCTGGCAACAGGGATGGGCTCCCTGCCTGGCAGGACAAGGGCAAAATTGGGGCGCTCCGTAGCTGCAGGACGTGAGGCTGCTGCGTGCGTGCGGGAACAGGGAGGCCCTCCCGCCAGGCTATAAATAGAGGCTGGGATTTGGGTGAGAGGGCGCCTGGCCGGGAGGAGGGGAGGACAGCTGCTGGCCTGGGCTGCCCCCCCCCCTGCTGCCAGCCAGCCAGCCTTCCCCCCCAGCCCCCTCCTCTCTGGCCAGGCGACTGTCGCCCTCCAGCCTCCTCTTTCCAAAAGACCCCAGCTGGGATTCCATGGGTTGTCCGAACTGCAGCTGTCCAGTTTTGGGGCCCAGGATGCCCAGCCTCTAAAGGGGGCAAAGGCATAAACAGCCTTGAACTCTTCACAGATTTGGAGGCTCTGAAAGCCCCCCCTCCGACTGCAGCCCCCCCAAAGGACCAGCCAGGGTCCCCCATGAAAGCGCCCACTGCAGTCTCCTCTGGCCGATGTTTTGCTCCGCCCGGTTTTTTAGTCTTTCTTTGAAGTCCTTCCTGAAAGGGCGCCGGGAGGGGGGGGTAGTGCCGCCACCTTCGAGGCAGGAGGTGCAGCCCCTCCTTGGATAAAATGTTCGGTGCCTCTCGTGACCCGTTGAAGACCCCCATGGGGGGGCGATTGCTCAGGCTGCACCCGATGCCCCCCCGCTCGTTTCTTTGAAATCCAGAAGATCAAAGGAGCCCCAGGTCATCCTACAGGGCCAAGATGGGGGGGGGGTCATCCTCGATTTGTGATGAGCCCAGAATTATGGTTGTTAAGTCGTGATGGTCATTGTTAAGTGGACCACCAGGTAGCTGTGCCCAATTTTACAGTTGTGGTGGCGATTAAGCAAACACCTCAGTTGCTAAATGAAGCCCTTTTACTTTTTGCTGGGAATCCGAAGCAAACATAGAAATGGGCAAAAAACTGCCCAAAATTGCAGTTACGTGACCGTTCGGAAGGGTCATCAGTGTGACCCTGTTGCCAAGCGCCCGAAACGGGCTCAGAGGAAGATCCTTCGTATCTTTGGACGGTGGATAACTGAGCAGTCGTTAAGCGAGGATTGCCTGCGTCTCGCCTGCCATTATTCAGGCCGTTTCCTTTGTCAAACGGCCCTGGTGGGCCTGGGGTCTGTTTGGACCAGAGGCTCTGCGGCCTTCATCTGAAGACCCTGCTGAAGGGGGGCATCCTCTGCCGGGCTGCCAGCCGAAGGGGCTATGTCCACTTTGGGGGGGCCTGAGTGCATCCCTGCACGCGCTCTGTTGCTAACGCAACTCCAGGCAGTCCTCGACTTACGACCACAATTGAGCCCAAAATTTATGTTGCTAAGGTGGAACATTTGTTTGTAGCCCTCTAACTCTCGGAGGGCCTCAGAAGTGGGCTGGGCGATCCCTGGAGGGCGCTGGGGACAGTGGCAGGGATAAGCAGCAGCTCGGCTGGAATAGGGGCGTTAACGGGGATCCCCTCGGGCAGAGTTTGTGGTCCACTGAGAAAATCTGTGGGTGGAAGCCCCCTCCCCCGGTCTCCTCCACCCCTCCCAGGCCTGGTGGGAGCCACACTGAATTGGCATTCAGCTCACCTGGTGCCAGGCTCACCTGGTGGCCCCTTAATCTCCACCCTAGTCGGTCTCTCCTCTCAACCCGGGCCTGGGAAATGAGCAACCTTTTCTCTCACGCCGTTTTTGCCTGGGCTTCTCCCGATCCACTCGGGGCTTTTGGGCACCCGGGTCCTTCTCCTCCTCCTCCTGCAACAGGCCCGGGGTCCGGTCCAGTTGGCGGAGAGGATGCTGCTGCTGGATCTCAAATGCAAGACCCCTCCCTCCCACTCCACCATCCCCCCCCCAGTAACTTCTGAACTCTCTACCTTCAGCCCCCCCTTTTTTCAAGAAGCTAAAAAGGTTAAGCCACCTGGAGTTGCCTCCAGTAGCTTAACCTTTATTATTAATTAATAAATAAAACATGCATGCTTTCTACAAATAAACATTTTTTTTTATTTTGTACAATATTCTGACCGAGAGTGCAAAGCCTTCATCAACAGCTGCATTTCAGTGCTTAAGTGACGGGCTGCCCTGAGAACGGACAGCAAGCAAGCTCGGGGGGGGGGGGGAGGGTGTCACCAGAGTCCCTCACAAATTCTTCAATTTATTAGCCCAGAGTAAAATCGACCACAGAATCAGCAGGAGGAAACGGGGCCCACCGAGCATCATAAGCAGCCCCTGGCCGGGAATCAAAGCCAGGTTTTCAAAGCTTTCTGGAGCCCCAGGCGAGGGGCCACCGTCCTTGTCCCTGGAGGGGGCTGGGGTGGGGCCCCCCAAGAAGCTAGGCTTCCCAGGTCCTACAAGCTGGCAGTGCTTCTGGGGGGGGGCGCATGCCCATCCAGAAACGACCGGAGACCAGCAGGCCCTCCGGCTCTCTGACCTGCAGAGTGTCGGAGGCAGTGACCAGCACTCGGGATGTCGACTCTCAGCCGGTACAGCGCCCGTCGCAATGGTGACCGAGGGGTGCCTGAAAGGCGCCCATTACTGTGCGCACAGTAGCTTCTGGATAGTCTTCAAGGGCAGCCACATGCAGAGCGCATTACAGTAATCTCTGGGGTGACCAGGCCACAAGTGATTGAAGGGAAGGGAAAGGGGGCAACTGGCGCATAGGATGAAAAGTGTGAAGGCTTCTCTTGTGGCAGAAGGACCCCCAGGCTGCACCCCAGTCTGGAATGGGGAAATGCAGAACCCTCCAAGACCAAGGACGGGAACATACCTGAACGAGGGGGGGGAGGGGGTATCATTGGCATACTGTCAGGTGGGAGCAACCAGGCCCTCAGGTGCAAAGTTCACACGGGGGTCGGGTCGTTCACTTGCCCGTCGCCTACTTCCTGTTGGCCTGGGAGACCCCCTCGCCCAGCGGTTTCATGCAGATGTTCAGCAGGAGAGGGTGAAGCATGGAGCCCGGAGGGCCCCCTCCCCACATGACTGGCTGCAGACATGATATCCTTCCCTTCCGTCCACCTGGACCGCAACCGACTGCTGAGGAAGGCGTTGACCCCCCCTGGAGCACGGCGCCTCCCACCCCTCATCCCCACAGCCGATCCAGAAGGATACTGAGGTTGACCGCATGCGCTTGCAGGAGCCCCCCAAAATTAGGTTCACTGAATAAATCCGGGCATCTCCAAGTGGCCCCGAAGCTCATGTGCAGACAGCGCGTCTTGCAAGAGGGCTTGCAAGAGCCCCCCAATCTTGGTCCTTCAGCCCCACCTGTCCGATATGTTGCCCCAGTCAGGCTGGTCTCCTGGCTGTTGGCCAGCCAACGGTCACTCGCCCCTGGCCTTCTGCTGGAAGTAAGCCTCAAAGCGGCACTGGGCATATTCCTGGCAGGAGGGAAGGCCGAAGTGACCCATGTTTCCTGCCAGACCCACTCTGCTCTGGGAAAAGGGAGGGGCAGCCCAGCGCCCTGAGGCCCCGTGGGATGCCCCTCGCAAGGGCTCTCGGACCAGCAGTCGTGGAACTGGTGGCCCGGGGGGAGGGAGGGAACCAGCCCTCGGCACTCACCAGGTAGCCAAACTCAATGGTGGAGATCTTGGCCTGCAGGATAGACCACAGGCCCCAGAAGAAATGGGAGGCCAAGGTGAACCTGGGAGGGGGGGAGAAGGAGAAAGACTCAGCTGAGGATGGGGGGGGGGGTTCTGCCATTCATGCCCCACAGAGGCAGCCCTTTTCTAGTCAGCAGCACTTCCCAGAGAAATGAGGGGCAGACCGAAGCCTCTTGTAATGCCTCCCCTCACCCTTATAGGGAACAGCCCCAGCTCTCCACCCCAACCCAAGGAAATGCCACTGGCGGCTGCTCCTGCAGCAGTTCTGGCCACCCCCCTCCTCCACCCCCACCACTGACCGGCTGATCTCCAGAAGCATCTTGGCCTCCAGGCGCTCCTGCTCCTCCGGCGAGGGTGGGGCAGCCTTCCCCCCTGTCTCCTCCAGGTAACACCGGATGAAGTGCAGCTGAAGGAAGAGGAGACAGGTGAGGCAAGTCACCTTCGGTTGCTACGGAAATGGAGCCTCCTGCCTGCCCCTAGGCGAAGCGCCTGGGACCCCGTGGACAATTGGTGCCGAAATAAATCCGGGATGGTGAGAGTGGAACTCAACCACAAGGAAGGAAGGAAGGGAGACTCTCTTCACCTGTCCCTGCCAACTCCCAGGCAGAGGCTGCCCAGGGGGTGCTAGGTGCCCAATTGACCCAATTGCAGTCACCTCTGCACCCACCCAGCATCTCACCACAATACGAAAAAGCTGTGGGGACTCTAGGAGGAGTGCAGAGAAGAGCAACAAAGATGACTAAAGGAACTGGAGGCTAAAACATAGAACGGTTGCAGGAATTGGGGAGGTCTAGTTTAATGAAGAGAAGGACCAGGGGTGACAGGATAGCAGCGTTCCAACATCTCAGGGGCTGCCCCAAAGAAGAGGGAGTCAAGCTATTCTCCAAAGCCCCTGAAAAAGGCAGGACAAGAAGCAACGGGTGGAAACTAATCAAGGAGAGAAACAAACCTGCAATTAAGGAGAAACTTCCTGACAGAACAATCAGTCAGTGGAACGGCTTCCCTTCAGAAACTGTGGGCGCTCCATCATTGGAGGCTGGACAGCCGTTTGTGGGAAATGATACAGGGTCTCCTGCTTGAGCAGGGGGTTGGGCTAGAAGACCTCCAAGGCCCCACCCAACTCCTGTTATTCTGTTAACTGCCAAACACACCCTGGGCAAGTTCCACTCATCGAGAACAAGGAAAAACTGGGCACTTGAATTAAGACTCCCACAGTAAAAAGCAGAACTAATCAATAGATCAAATTATAAGCTCCGTAGCTCAAGTTCCAAAAGTCCAGACAAGCTCAGGAGCCCAGCTGAGCTGAAATAACTCAGTTTCCAAAGGCTTCCTAGACACCAGCTCTGCCCAGTCCTGCGGGGTCCTTGCTGGTGCCTGCCAAGCGGGGCCTCTGAGCCGGGGAGGGCAATGAATTCCTGGAGGGACGGGAGCAGGTTAGCAAGGCAGAAAGGCAGGAAGGATGGGTGCTAACTGGGGCAGCCTTGGAATCCTCCGTTCTGCATCTGCTTCGTCAAAACCTCTACGGCCATGTGTGCAACGTGTTTCTTGCTATTAAGACAATCATCTTTTTTTTTTTGAGGATAGAAACCACAAACGGGCAAGAAAGTAACTTGAGGTTTGCTTATTAGGCATATGTGTGCTTTCACCACCTATTACTTATGCACACGTATGACTGTGCTATTTTCTCCTCCTTCCCTGAAATGTATAAATATGTGTGCAGGCTTTAGACTGTAGGAGCCCCTCTTGTTACTTCTCCAATAAATACTCCAGCAGATACTGCAGCGAGGCCCGAGGTTCGGGTCCTGCGTTTGATTCCACAAGGCTCTACGCCAGGGATGGGCAACTGTGGCTGTTCTACGACCTGTGGACTTCAACTCCCAGAATTCCTGAGCCCCCTCCAAGCCAGCCCTCCCCTCCCCACAGGAGCCCAGGCCATTACCTGCTGCTCGGGGCTGGGGTAGTTCTCCGGGCTGGCTTTGTAGAACGGCCACTCGTTGTGGGCGTAGCTGTAGACCCACTCGCAGAAGTGATTGGCGATGTCAAAGCCCCTGCAGGGGAGGAGGAAGAGGAAGAGGAAGAGGAGGAGGCTAAGCACTGGGATTGTTTAGCACACCTCTGTGTTTCTCCATCTACACAACACAGGTAGCCCTCAACTTACAACCAATTGCTCAGCGACTGTTCAGAGTGATAAAGGTCCTACCTTGGAGCAACTTACGAGCTGGATTCAAAGTTCCCAGGGCTGCCCCTCCCTCCCTCCCTCCCTCCCTCCCTCCCTCTGCGGTCCCACGACTGAACTCTGGGCACTCAAGTGACACGGCTGCGTCGAAAGCCGCTTGCAGCATCCCGCAGTCACATGACCGCATTTCGTGACAGTTTTGCGGGAAACCCAGCATTTACTGCACCCGTTGCAAACCACTGATTCGCTTAATGACCGCCGCAAAACAGGTTGTAAATTTGGGTCGGATACATAACCAGTCTCTCTTCCGATTGCCACAGCTTACAACTGTGATGGGGAGGCTCCATTATCGTTGTAAGTTAAGCAACACCCACAACCCATTTCTCTGAATCTGTCACCAGGCGCTAAGCTAATCCTCTGGGCAGCTTCAGAGAATTGCTGCGTTTGTACAACATTTTTAATCAGGTCAGTTAAAGACTTGCCGGAACATCAACACACTAGGCTTGTTTTTAATCTTTGTTCGGGGTTTGTGTGTGTGCCTGTGTGCGTGATAGAGCATGTTATACAAACCCAGACTGTTGGGTTAGTTTCTACCGCAATATAAAAACACATCCAAGAAGCGGGTCACTTCGACAAGCCAGTTAAGGCTATGGTGGAGAGACAGCCGTCATGTTAAAATATAATTGGGCAATTTGTGACCAGCAGCCAGTCCCTCACAAGTGAGGCCAGGCTGGGCCTGTGGGAATTTGGCGAGAGGATTTCACGGAAAGCACGACCGGAGAGCAGAGAAACTTCCTGGAAGAACTCAAATTGCGAATCCTCTCTCGCCCAGCAAAGGCCCCCTCGGTCTGCCCGCTCTCCTGCCCAGGCCACCCAGAGGGCGAGGGGGGCCGCCGGCCTACCGGTAGTTGTAGCTGCTGTACTCAAAGTCGATCAGCATCAGCCGGTCCGTGGAGGAGGCCTCGCGGCCAGCCAGGAGGAGGATGTTCCCTGCGTGGGGAGGGAAGGGGGGGGGAAGGGGAGTTGTCCATCAGACCAGCCAGGACCTCGGGGGGGCTCCTTCTGGGCTCCTGCCAAGGGCCCGGATCCCCTCCCACCCTCTGGGCCCCCCTCACCTTCTTGCACGTCGTTGTGGCAGAAAACCACGGGGGACGGCGTGGCCTCCAGCAGCGTCCTAGGAAAAGAGGAAGCGGGGAAGTGGCTCTGCAGGGCTCCCCCCCTTCTCTCGCTAAGGGAGGGGCGCCACAAGATGAGAGGGCCGCTTGGAGCCACTGGGGGGTGGGGCGGCTTCACGACAGGCCTCCTTTCGATACAAAACTGCCCTTGGGGCGTGAAACCCAGGGGGTCCCAGCCTCTGAAGCCCCCTGCCCTCTGGCAGCACTTTCCCGATCCCATGGGGGGGAAAGGGGGAGTGGCTGCTGCAGAGCCGGCAGGGAAGCGGGCCAAGCAAAGGGTGGCCCAGAGGCCCCGTCTGGAAGCCCCACCGGCGGCCTCTCCCTGGAGATCTGCTCACCTGAGGCTGCGCATTTCGGCCTCCAGGTTGTAGGCCTTGAGCTGGTTCAGCTTGTGCCGCTGGGCCTCCTGGGAAAAGGTGAGCTCGGAGATCTGCTTCAGGTACCTGCCAGGAACGGAGGAGGATGAGGAGAGGCTCCGCTGCCTGGGAGGGGGGGGAGGAGGACGGGGGGAGAGGCCCAAACACCTTCCCAGGCAGCCTCTGGAGTCCTTGGGAGGGGGAGAGGGGCTAGCCCACCTGCCCGGGGAGCGGCCCTTGCCGGCTCCAGCCCCGTCCGCCTCTGCAGCCCAAGGCCCGGCCAGGGCGACCCACCTCTCCATGGTCCCAAACATCCACTTGGGCTCTTTGTTGAAGGGCATCACCATGCCGTGGAAGCGGGCCATCTTCACCGCGATCTCCGCCGAGATGCTGGGCTGTGGCAGGTCCTCCGTGAGCAGCCGGCGGCTCTGCAGATGGAGACACAGGGCAGCCCTGAGGCCACGGGAGGCCTGGAGGGAGCTGGGGCCCCTTCTGCTCACAGTCGTGGGAAAGGGGGGAGGAGAGGAGGCCGCAGAGGGTCACGAAGGCTCTGGGAGACCCCGAGGGTACGTTGATTTATAAGCCCCCCCAAAGTCTCTTGAAACCAGGCCAGGAGAGGGTGGGAGGGAGAGAAATGACACGCATCACAAAAAGCCACAACGAGGCCTGTGTGCTTTGGGCAAAACACAACAGCCCACCGCTTAGATTCCTAAAGTCTCTGAAGGCCCCGCTGTGAGAAATGAGCCTGTTGGTTGCCGTTCTTCTCCTTATACTGCAGATGTTTCTCCAGATGAGGAGCGTCCCTCCTGGCCTGTTTTTATGGCTTTGTGGGGTTTCCTCCCTTACGGGGGGGGGGGGACACCTCGAGACTCAACTGCTCTGAAACTCATTGAATTTGCTACTCAGTGCATTTTGTCATGAAAGTTTTGTCCCGGTACTCATCGTTTGTTTGGCACTCAACGCACAAGCCAGAACTTGTGACTCCCTGCATTATTCCTTATGGGAAAAATTTGTTTGGTACTCATTGTTTTTGTTGCTCATCAGCCCCCGCCCCCCGGAACCAATTAACGATGAGTACCGAGGTACCACTGCACTTTTTAGATTCTAAGTCACCCAGAGCTGCTTGGAGTCGGATGGCCTCTCTAGGATTAATAAAGTAAAAACAAGTAAGATAACTTGCAAAGCAGAGCGGTGTCTGATTTGGACTCAAGTTGAAACTTCTGCCCAACAACATGCGTCTTCTGCAGCAACTCTGGGGACCCCTTGTGTGGGGCTTGTGAGGGGAGCCCTGTCCCACTGCTGGGGGTTGCGGCCTGAGCACCTTAAAGCAAGGATGGGTGCTAACCAGAAGCTGAATTCCGGATCCAGAGGCAGAAGACGCTGGCAGCCCCTCTGCCCACCCACCCCACCATGCTTATCCCCATTTAATTCCTCCCAATTTCCTAAAATGGGATTCCAGGATTCAGAATAACAGAATGACAGAGTGGGAAGGGACCTCGGAGGTCTTCTAGTCCAACCCCTATACCTTTCCAGACAAAGGAGAAAGAGAAAGGGATCCCGGCAGGATCAAAGTGCGCCCGGAGGTGGCATTTGGTGGCAGTGCCAGGCTGCTCTGGAGGCCTGTCCTGCAGGCCAGGGAAGGGGTGGCACACTCACAGGGATGTATTCCTCCAGGCGTCCCTGCGGGAAGATGCCATACAGCCGTGGTCCCAGGGCCCGCTCCGCCAGGATGGCAAACATGACGCTCTCAAGAACCAGTGAGTCGACCCCCTGTGTGCATGAGAGAGAGAGAGAGAGAGAGAGAGAGAGAGAGAGAGAGAGAGAGAGAGAGAGAGAAAATAGAAGAATAAGACTAATAACTTTATTGTCACTTTGAATGTATGCTAATCGGCATACATTAAAATGAAATTTCATTGCATGGAGCTCTCAGAGGGAGATGCGCGAGAAGGCATGAAACCCCTCGTGGCAAATGCAAAGCGAGAACGGCCCTTCTCTCACGGGACTAGAACTCGGGGCCCTGCGTCAACAGGAAAGGCAGGGAGCTGAGGAACCGACAGTCACACGCAGGGCTGCGCAAAACCGAAGACGATTCTCCAGACAGGCTGGAGGGAAAATATCAACTATGGCAAGAAAGGTCATAAAGTGGGGCAAAAACTCACTTAACAACCATCTTGCTTAGCAACGCAAGCTTTGGGCTCAGTTGTGGTCATTAGGTGAGGGCTTTTGAGGGCCCGCTGAGAGGCCATACAAACGTTCTGGAACCAATAAATCAAGCTGCCGCTTTGTGGGGGACCCCTGGCTGAATCAAAAAGGGGGGGGGAATGCCACCCTCCTGCTTTCGACACCATGGACCGGGATCCCCTCTGGCCCTGGGAGCGGACGGGAGGGTCATCCGGGGCCCGGAAGGGAAGTTTCCAGAAGGCCCGGCCGAAGCTCACCTGAAGGATGATTCCGTACACCCGCAGCAGCACCTGGCGCGGCTCGTCCTCGGTGGTCACGACCTGGTCCGGCAGGGAGCACTTGTAGAGCAGGTTGCTCAGCCCTCCGCTGGGGGGGGGAAGCAGCGTCAGACCGGGCAGGAGAGGGTGGGCTAGAGGGGGACGGGACAAGCCCCCCCCCAAGGGACAGGCAGCATCCGACTCCTCTCAGGGAATGCTGGACTAGAAGACCTCCAGGGTCCCTCCCCACTCTGTTACAGGCAGTCCTCGACTTACAAGTTCATTTAGTGACCATTTGAAGTTACAGCAGCACTGACTTACAACCGCTTTTCACACTCGTGACCACTGCGGCATCCCCATGGCATCCCCGATTGGCATTCGGATGCTTGCCAACTGACTCACATTTACGACGGCTGCAGTCAGCATCCCGGGGGTCACGCGATCCCCTTTGCTGACCGTCCCATACGCAAAGTCCAGGGGGAAGCCAGATTCGCTTAACAACCGAGTTACTACCTGGACAGCTGCAGGGTTTTACTTCACAGCTGTGGCAGGAAAGGTCGTAAAACGGGGCAACACTCACTGAGGCTCCGTTGTGGTCGTAAGTCGAGGACTGCCTGGATTTCCCTTACTGCGGTGTGAAAGCGCCCGGTGGCGGCCCCTCCCAGGGCCGGGCAAGCAGACCCCGGGGCCTCGGAGCAGCGCACCCCAACCGCGGGCCCCTGTGGACCTCCACTCCCAGCATCCCCAGCCAGCCACGCCCGGGAGGGTCTCTTTCGCCCTCCGCCCGGCCCGCGCCGCTTCCTCTCCCGGAGCGCCCGGAACGGCCACGGGAGGGAGGGAGGGAAGGAGGGAGCTGCCCGGCGCCCCCTCCCCCACGCCGCGGTCTTTCCTCCGGCGACCCAGTGGCCGGGCGTTCCGCCGGCGGCGCGCCTGCGCGGGGCGGTGACGTCACGGGCGGGGCTCCTCCCCCTCACCTGACGGGGACGATGCCCAGCTGCTCGGGGGCGGCCAGGCGGCGCCAGGCCCCGGCCAGGAACTCGCGGCACCAGAGGAAGGCGCGCAGGCGGGTGGGCGCGGGGACGGCCGGGCAGCCGCGGGGCGAGCGATGGGGCGCTGCGCGGTCCCCCTCCGGCCCGTCTCCCTCCGGCGCCTCCATCGCCGCCCGCTGACCGATGGCCGCCCCGCCCCTCGACCCTACGCCCCGCCCGCCCGCGCTCCCATTGGCCCGCGCCGGCGCCCGCCCACCGGAAGGCGCGTGGCGGTTCGCGCCCAGAGGAGACGGGGCGGGGCAGGGCGGAGGCCGTGGCCAATCGGGAGGCGTGACGTAAGCGAGCGAGGCGCCAATCCGCAGCGGCAGACGCCGGCGAGGGTGAAGGACGACGGAGCGGTTGCGACACGTGGACCGTTGTTTGTGCGAACGCGCCGACGAGGGACTGGTGGTGCGTTCCCTCGAGAATGGGGGCGAGCCGCGTGAAGAGAATTGGAGAAGAGGCGCTGCGGAGGCGATGCGCATCCCCAAGAGGGCGGCTCAGTTAGGGGGGTTGGACTAGAAGACCTCCAGGGTCCCTCCCAGCTCTTTTCTTTCCCCGCCCTGCCGGGCCAACTGCGCAGCCTGCCAGGCCTGCCGCTGAGTCGGCCGGTCGTACCAGCCTCTCCTCCCCACCCCCTCCGCTAGGGGGCGGGGCCTCTTGAAGGGGGCGTGGAGCCAGCCGAGACCTGCACGTGTCTGCTGTATCTGGGGGCTCTGAAGAAACAGAAATCCCCCGGGGGGGTGTGTGGGCTGAGCTCCCGGAGGGGAATCCCCCCAAAGTTCCTGGGCTTCAGTAGAAGGAAATATTTATAGCCCCGGGTTGAACTGGGGGGGGGGGTGTCCTTGGTGCTCTCTGAACTGGGTGGCTTTACTTACAGACGTTTCATGACCCAACTAGGGAACATCATCAGTGATGGAAGGGGGTGGGGGAGAAAGCTGGGGAACATCATCAGTGCTAGAAGGAAGTTTGGCTTGCAGAGAAGAAGAGGACGGACATCCTCAGTGCTAGAAAGGGGAGGGGTTGCTCTCTGTTTATACCCCAAGCAAGGAACTGCCAACTCAAACAAACAAAGATACAATAAATTACAGGCTAATCAAGGAACAACAAAACATGCCCACCAAAACCAACAGGGCAAGCCACTAGTGCAGGGGTTCTCAACCTTGGCAACTTTAAGACTTGTGGACTTCAACTCCCAGAATTCCTCAGCCAGCTTTGCTGGCTGAGGGATTCTGGGAGTTGAAGTCCACAAGTCTTAAAGTTGCCAAGGTTGAGAACCCCTGCACTCGTAGATAAACAGAGAGCAAACTCCCCTCCTAGCCCTGAGGATGTTCCCTAGTTGGGTCGTGAAACGGCTGCAAGGAAACAGCCAAACTCAGAGAGCAGGAGGGACTCCAGAATCCCCCTCCTCTTCTCCCCAATCTCCCTTCTAGCCCTGATGATGTTACCTAGGTGGGCCGTGAAATGTCTGCAAGGAAACAACAACCCAGCTCAGGGAGCAGCAAGGGCCCCACCCTTGGCTTCTCTTGATCTCGGGTTGTCTTGTAGATGCCAGCAAATGTGGAGATCAAGGCCCGGGTGCAGGATCTGGCCCAACTGATCAGCAGGGCGGAGCAGCTGAGTGGATCCCCTGGCTCTCTCCTACTTCAGACAGACACCTTCTTTCCTGTTCCCCACGGACGGCTGAAGGTTCGCGACTTCCGAGTGAGTAAACCAGCCAGCCAAGCAGAAGGGGGGGGGGGCTCAGTTTGCTCCCCCCATTTTGCCCCTTAAGGGAATCTCCGGTTTTTAAATTTGACCTTCATATTTCGTACGTTTCTGACTGTGGTTCCAGCTCGCATCATTCTCGGCAAGCACAGCTCTAGAATGATCTGGCTGGGATTTTGCAAGTACATTTGATGAACTTAATGTTTTTTGTGTTGTAAGCTGCCCAGAGTCGCTTTGGAAACGATGGGTGGCAAGTTTCATAATAAATGTAAATAAAATAATAAAGCTTATCAGCTTCTCTCAAGTTCCACCTCAAACCACCAGCCCCTCCTTAAATTACAGTCTACCCGGCCAGTTTCCATAAAACAAGATTAATTTGCTTATTTTGCTTGGTAGGGATAGTCTGATCCTGAGCGAGGCGGACTGTGGATGACCGGTTTTTTTCTTCACAGGATGGCCGTGGACAGCTGGTGTTTTATGACCGGCCAAACTCCACAGCCCCCAAGCTCTCTCATTTCACCGTCTCTCCCACCGATGACCCCGGAGGACTTGTGGTAACGCCTCATGGACTGGGAAGGGCTGCTTGCTGTGGGAATGGCCCGGGGGGGGGGGCTGGTGTGGGGGGGGGCAAGGCTTTTGGTGGGACGGAACAGTCATTCTGGAGGGGAGCAGGACTCGTCTCTGCTTCCAGCATCCACGTGGATATTTGAGGTGCTTTTCCAGGTCAGCCAATTCCCAACATTCAACCCCAAAATACATTGTGTAAGGCCAGTTCCACACGTGGTGGGGCAGCCGGCAGCCCTCTAAAGCTTGGAAGGGCCCATGGGTCTCCCCATGGAAAGCCGGGTCAGAAGGTCATCCTGTGTACTTGTTCCCTCCTGGAGATGGTCAGAGGAAGCTAGGTCAGCCCAGGCAGGGTCCACCTCACCTGCTTTATCCACTTTCCTCCAGGGCCGACCACGTGCTCCAGGCACGTGCATCAGCCACTGAGGCATCTGGGTGTTTTCTCCCGCTTTCCCTCATCTCCCACTCTCTATGGAGATTCTCCTCCATCCAGGTCATGGTTGTCCCAAAGGTGCTTTGCAGAGGGCAACTGGACGTTCTTCGTTTTTTCCTTGAAAATGTTTCACTCCTCATCTAAGAAGCTTCTTCAGTTCTGGAGACGTTCTTCAGAACCGAAGAAGCTTCTTGGATGAGAGAGAAGCAAAGCAGAAATCACCTTTATCTCCCACGGCAGCTCATCTGCTCCCGGGGATTCCTTGGGCTTCGTGTCCCCGGAAGGAGAGAGAAGGGGCCTTGAGGTCTCATAGAAGGGGGACTGGGACGTGCAATTCATTGTTTGACCGCTAGTTGGTAAATTGGCGTAAAGCCATGCTGGAGCCGTTGTGGCGCAGTGGTTAGAATGCAGTATTGCAGCGTAGTTCTGCCGACTGCTAGGAGTTCGATCCTGGCCGGCTCAAGGTGGACTCAGCCTTCCATCCTTCCGAGGTCGGTAAAATGAGGACCCAGATTGTTCAGGGGGCAACAGGCTGACATTTGTGAACTGCTTAGAGAGGGGCTGTAAAGAATTATGAAGCAGTATATAAGTTCAAATGCTACTGCTATTCTGCCTGCGTTTTTCCCCACACAGGAAGCCTTGTCTCAGGCGCTTGGAAAGCAAGGAGTGGTGAAGAAGGAGCGCCGTCTTTACAGGGTGGGCCAGACCCGTGTCCACGTGGATCGGGTGGAAGGACTGGGTGACTTTGTGGAGCTGGAGGTGAGGAGCAGCGCTTGGAAGCCTTTCCGTTCCGTGACTGAGCCCCAGAGCAAGCGGGGTTCACCTAGTGGGGTTTGCAGCAGTTGGTCCCCGGATCTCTCCACCAGGGAGAGGAGAGGAGCAAAGGCAGGAGATCTGGTAGCCGCAGGGAGATCGGTGCAGGAATGGGGGGGGGGGAATACGGGGACAGTCTTGTCCTCGGGGAGAATCGAGAGTCCAGGACAGGACTGTGAGGCCAAACAGTTGCTGACAGGCAGACAGGCTGACTCACTCTTCTCACTTTCCTTGGCTGCTGGAAATTCTGCCGCAGGTTCAATTCCACTTTCAATCAATCAGAGTAGAGCTGGAAGGGACTTTGGAGGTCTTCTAGTCCAACCCCCTGGTCAAGCAGGAGACCGTATGCCATTTCAGACAAGGGACAGTCCAGTTTCTTCTTAACAGCCTCCAGTGATGGAGCACCCGTAACTTCTGAAGGCAAACTACTTCAAACTATTACTATCAAAGATCAGCCAAAAATTGTACAGTTCCACACAAAAATGCATAAATGACATCTCAGTAAACTATTGGCTGACAGCAGGACTGAGATGAGTTTTTTTTTTAAATATATATATAGGTAAGAGGTGGGATGTGGGAAGATGCTGAGTTGCTAAGATAGTTGTGACGAAGAGAGAAATCGCTTGGACAGCCGTCGGTCAAAAATGTTCTTGGAGTTCATTCATTGAACGGGAGATGCAGGGCTAGGCAACCTTGGCTCTTTTATGACTCCTGGACTTCAACTCCCAGAATTCCTGAGCCAGCTGTGCTGGCTCAGGAATTCTGGGAGTTGAAGTCCAGGAGTCATAAAAGAGCCAAGGTTGCCTACCCCTGGGAGGTGGATCTAGCTGGCCCCAAGATCCCCCCCACTTCCCTTTCTCTGGGGCTGCAGCTGCCCAGCGCCTCCAGCAGTGGGGAGGGGTGTTCCTCCCAGCCCCGGATCCCAGAGCTGGCATCGACGTTTCCCTGGATTGTTCCTCCTTTCTCCCTGGGGCCAGAAGAGAGCAGGTAAACACGCTCCGTCACGTGATCTCCCAGACAGTCAAACCATGCCTGGAGGTGGTAAACATGTCAGAGAAAAAAGCTGTGAAGGAAACAGGTGTCAGGTTTTCCTGCCCGGAACACGTGGTCTCTCGGGAAGAGCGGAAAGGAAGGTAACACTGCTGAAGAACTGGAAGGAAGGGAGAGATGGAGAAGAAGAGGAGGGGGTGGGCAAGCCCAAAAGACCCCTGAAGCTCTACAGGTGGACGGTAGAGCAGGGGTCCTCAACCTTGTCAACTTTAAGACTTGTGGACTTCAACTCCCATAAAAGGTCATTAAAATGGGGCAAAATTCACTTAACAAATGTTTCATTTAGCAACAGAAATTTTGGGGTCAATTGTCTTAATTCGAGGATTACCTGTACAGTAAATGCAGGTATGAAAAGTGCCCAATCAGGCCCTCGAGGCTGCCTTCAATCACGCAAGATGGTCTCGTTGACCCGCAAAGCACCTGTGGGAAAAACGTTAGGATGATGACGATGTAGCTGTACAAGCCAGCCTCTCAAAGAAACCAACTTTGGCCCACCTTGGCAAGAATGTCCAATCTTGGCCACTTTAAGACTTTGCTTTTTAACCCTGGGCAATTCTAGGAGTTGAAGTCCACAGTTTTAAAGTTGCCAAGTTTGGAGACCCTGGTCTGTCTCATGTGCCTGCAAATGTATTTGGTTTCACAAGGCAGCCTGTTGCAGACGGGGGCTGAGGGCCCTCCCTTTCTTTGCCGTGTGTGTGTGTGTGAGAGCACCGTATCCCATCGCCCTCTCCGTCCTTGCAGGTGGTGCTAGAGGAGCAACAGAGCCCCCAGGAAGGCAAGGACACGGCCCGGCGACTGATGGGCCAGTTGGGCATAGAGGAGAAGGAACTCGTCAGTGGGGCCTACATGGACCTTCTGCTGGCAGGAGGTGGAGGAGGAGGAGGAGGAGAGCCCCCTCTGTGACGGAGAAGCATTGTGATGGCCGGAGAAGGTCTTGGGGGCACCTTGCCACTTGGTGGAATGAAAAGTTTGGGATGCCGAAAGGAGCCTCCTCGGGGAAAACGGGACGTTTTGTACCTGGAGACCACCCTAAATCGTATCGAATTAAAATGTGTCTTGGCCCAGAACAGGGGTGTCCAACCTTGGCGATTTTAAGACTTGCTTAAATATCCACTTTGGTGCACAGGAAGTTGGGGTGACTGTGATAACCCGTCTCACAGGGTTGTTGTGGGGAAAACGAGAGGCAGGAGTTTTAGGCATATTCGCTGCCTTGAGTGGACCAGATAGGCAGGCAAGCAGGCTAAGAACAAAAACACACGACAAGTGCAGCAGCAGCAGCAGGGCACAAGAGGCATCTGCCGAAAGCCTTGGGGGAGCCCAGGAGCATCAGTGGGGCGGGCAAAGAGGAGATGAAACTCAGCAGTCGGTGACCCCCAGATGAGGAGGAAGAGTATCTGGGGCAGGCCGAATGGAGGATGTAGGAGAGCACAGAAGAGGAAGCAGGAGTCGCCTCCTTCATTCTGAACTGCAGTTTCCCAAGTTTCCACAATGTGTTGCGTTATCATCTCAGGACACCCTAGACCAACCCTAGTCAAACTGCTGGCCCACCGGCTGGATGCGTCATGCCAAAACCGCACCCACCCCATTGCCAGCAATGGACAAAAAGTCACGACACGTCACGTGACGTTGCGAGTTTGACACCCCTGCCCTACAGAATTATAAAGAAGGGGTGGGTCTGCTTGACAGATTTATTTATTAAACCACTGCATGTATCTTCCCATCTGCCAAAAGGAACTCTGGGTGGTGAAGAAATTAAAAACATTAAACACCGTCATTCAAAACTGAACTCTCCCGAGGCACTGGGATAAATGCTTACACTCTCCCCCCCCCCCTGCTGTATGGTTGGTCCTGGGGAGGGCCACCCCCTGCCCCTGTTCACCGGCATGGGCACAGAGTGAGGTGCTGGGTCTCTGCTCCTGGGACGCTGGCCGAGACCACCTCAGAGGGGAGTGTGCAAACCATGAATCTTGACCCCTGCCTGGCACACCAGTCCCACGTGGCACGTGCCGCAGAAACGGGCACAGCAGAGACCTTCTGGAGGACCAGGTGCTGCACCCCTTCTTAGAGGAGCCACTTCCTTCTGCCCTCCAGATGCCCACTTTGGACTTCCGATTAGCTGGTGGGCTCTCTGGGAGGCACCAGCCTGGCGAAGGCTCTTTGTCCATGCTTCTCTTGGCCCAGGGAAGCCAGCAGCTGGTGCTGGTGCGTGGCCCTGGATCGGTGGCTTGCCCACAGTGAGGGCAGTTTAGGCACCCTTAACAACCCGGGGTCTGGGCGGAGCAGCAGTCCCAGGAGCAGCTGGGCCTGCCTTTAATTGGAGATCCTTTAATTGGCTCCTTGGGGAGGGAGGCCTCCTCCTGCCACCCTGCTCGGCCCAGATTTCTTTGGGCTGCCTCTGTGCAAAGCCTGGCATCATACCGGGCAGAGGTCGCCAGGGCCTGTTGTGGAACGGCGGCTGCCTCCTCCTCCTCCCTCGCTGGCTGCTCGCAGGACGGGGAGCTTTCCCTGCTCGGGCTCCACGGAGAACGGAGCGGGCAAAGCCTTGCTGCCCTCGGCGCCTCGCTCTACTACCCAGGGCCCGCACGGCGCCCCCAGGCGGGCTCCCTCCCGGGGCAAGGCAGGCGGAGAGCCGCCTCCCCAGCGCCCCCTGGCCGCCCGCGTCGCCCCCCTCGGCGCCCGTTCCAGGGACGGCTCCTGGCGGCCGCCCTTCAGCACCAGCGGCGCGGACAGCTCCCTTCTGCCAGCCGCCCGCTCTGCCGCCCGCGCCCCTCCCCCGCCCGGGGGCGCCCTCGCTCTGCAACCGGGCGCCCGACACGGGCAACGGGCGCCCGCTTTGTTTTGCCGCCGGGGTGGGGGGGGAAAGGGAGGGGCTGGACATTCCCGCCGCCGCCGCCTCCCCCGGCCCGCTAGGCTGGAGGAGTCGCGCCGCGCATCCGCAGTGGGGAGGGGGCGCTGTGGAGCCTCGCTCGGCCTCGCCCCTCCTCCTCCTCCTCCTCCTCCCGCCGCGCCGGAGCACGACGGGCTGGAGGGTATTGGCTGCGCCGCCCGCTCCCCCCCCGCCGCCGCAGCCAGGGGAGCGCAGACCCCCCCGCGCTGTTTACCGGGGCCCGGGCGGAGGAAGCGCGAGCGCGCCATGGCTGCTGCTGCTGCTGCTGCGGTTGCTGCTGCGAGCCTCTCCGGGCAGCCCCCGCAGTGAAGAGCCGCCGCCGCCCCGACCGGCCCGGCCCCGCCGCCCCTCGCCTCGTCCGCGGCGCCTCGCCTCTCGCTCGCCCCTGCTCGGCTCGGCTGAGCGGCGCGGCGCCCGGAGAAGATGGCGGATCGGGCGGAGATGTTCTCGCTCTCCACCTTCCACTCGCTCTCGCCGCCCAGTTGCAGGTAAGACGCCGCCGCCGCCGCCGCCCCTGCCTCCGCGGAAGGAGCGAGCCCGGAGGCAGCCCGAGAGGCCGGGGAGGGGGTTCCCGGAGCGCGGCTCCAACCCGAGCGACGCCTGGCCGATGCGGCTTCGAGCGCCTCCCGGGGCACGTCCGCACCCCGGGTGGAGCAGCTGGGCCTGGGAGCGGCGGCCGAGACGGTGCCTTCGGCCGAGCGTTGGGCGGCTCCTCGGGAGCAGCTGGGCCCTGGACGCGCCCGCCTTGGGACGGCCCGTCTGCTCCTGGGGTCCCTCCTCCCCACGGCCAAGGGGGTCTCCGGCCGCCCCCTGCCTGCCCGCCCGCCCGCCCGCCCTTCCAAGAGGCCGGTTCGGGCCGCTCCGCCTGATCCCCCCCCCGGGGCCCGTCCAGCCCTCCCTCCCTCGCTTGCCGTCGGTGTGGGGGGGGCGGCGGTGGTGGGCCCAGAAAAAGAGCGGAGCTGCTTCTCCTCCGGCCTGGAGGCCGCAGCGGCGGAGGCATTTCGCGGCTTTGGGGGCGCCGCTTCGTCGGCGCCCATCCGCCCCCCCCCTTCCTGACATGGAGAATTCGGCCCCGACCGGGCGGCTCTGGAGCGGCCTCGGAGAAGCGGGACCCCGCCCGCGGCAGCCCCCCCCGGCTCTTGCTCCGGCGCCCTGCGCTCCTTCCCCGCCCAGGGCCGAGCTTGGGCCTGGGGGGCGGGGAGGGGAGGGACGCTTATCCGGACCCTCCTTCGGAGGGGCACCAGGCCAAGCGCCGAGCCTTCCTGGCTGTGGGGAGGGCGCTTTAGGCACGCGTGGTCCTGAGGGGCCTGAGGGAGCCCTGCTGCTGCCCGCCCCACCCACAGGCAGCCTGGGCAGCTGGCAGACCTCCCCTCCCCTCCCCCCCCGGGAGGCGGCTTCTCCTTTCTCTCTCTCCTCGCCAGGCTCGGTCTGGCAGGGAGCCAGGGCTACCTCTGAGCTGTGCTCTCCCGGATGAGCAGCAGCCTCGCGGCGGCCCCTCTTGCAGCCCCCAGCCACGGTGGGTGCACAGAGGCCGCACAGTGCCAGCCCTGCCTTGTGGGGCTCCCTCTTCAAAGCCAGAGAGGGCCTTTGGGGCACTGGCCGTGGATTGGGGCAGGAGCAGGACCTCTTTCGGCTGGTCTTCTGGTCCTCCAAGCTGTGGAGGAGTTTTCCTTGGTGACCCCCAGATGCCGCCCTCCCTCTTGAGGTTCGTATTTGGGGAGAAGGACCCCAAGCCCAGCAGGATCTCTACAGGGAAGGGCAATCCTTGGTAGCTGGAAATCTGGTGTGTGTGTGTGTGTGTGTGCACGCGCCTGTTTGGGCAGGGGGAGCCCAAGGATGGATCCTGGGCTGGCTGTGAGAACCCCGAAAGCCTCTGGCTGGATCAGGCCAGCCAAGTCCGGCGTTTTGGTTTTCCCAGGCGCTGCCCAGATGCTGCCTCTGCAATGGGGGGACGGGAGAGGCCTCTTGGCCTGCTCTGGTTGTTCTCCGGAGGGGCCCTCTGGGGAGAGGCTGCCCTCGCCCAGAGACGTGGCTGCAGGGGAACCGGGGGGGGGGGGGCGGCGGCAAAGAACCAGGGCACGGCTAGAAGCTGAAGTGTTGGGGAGGCTGGGGAGCGACCAGAGGGAGCCCCGTTCAAGCCCACCCCAGGCCTCTTTCTCTGCTTAGCCAGGTGTGGGATAAAATCAAGGGAGAGCCACCCACAGGGCCCCATCGGCTTCTGGGGGAAAAATCAATTAAGTGAATCCATGGGACAGGCAGGAATGTTGTCAGGGGAATCCAGATTCCCCCTCCCCTTTGCTCCTTCTGGGATCTCTTCTGGACAAGCAAGGATCCTGGAGATCTGCTTTGGCACAAATTGAGAGGTGGGGGAGGGGAGGAAATGAGATGAAAGCCCGGATAGTGGAGTCTTTGGCAGATCTTTGGGAGTTGGGGGGAGGGGCTGGACTGAGCAACCCCACTGCACCCCTCCCAGTATGGAGCTGGCCTGGCCTCCTTAACTCGCAGGCCATCTGGGGTCACCAGGCATCCGGAGGGGGCCACAGAGAGTGTGTGTGTGTGTATTTTGAAGGCAAGAGTACAATTGAGGGGGTGGGCTCCCTGGTTCTGATGAAAGAGAAGTGGGTGCTGCAAGAGGGGGGGGAGGTTTGAGTTGTCTTTGGCCTTTTTCTCCTGAGGCGTGGGGGGGGGGAGGACAGTGTGAGGGCAGAAGGCTCTGGCCATAAACGTCTGCCGGCCCTTTAAGGAAGACCCTTAAGGATGAAGGGGGAGATTCTCCCATCCTCTTTTCCGGGTCTGGGACAGCTGAAAAGACAGAACCTGGTCAGCCATGGTCTGTATGGGATGCATACGTGTCTATATGCATAGTACATATATAGCCCCAGACCACATTTAGACAGCATACTGAATGGGCGGTCAATGTCAACGTTTCCTTCGGCCCCTCTGCGTGTCGTGCTTGACCCATTAACAGGGCAGCCAGGAATGATCGGGACTTTCTCTGTGACAAGATGCTCAGGATCAGGAAGGAGAGATTTTTACTGCGGTTGCAGAGGCATTGCTGGATCCCTGGTCGATCCCAAGGGGATCACTGCCCTTTGGAACAGCGTCTTGACCTTTCTGCTGTTTAGGAAGGTTTTGAAAGCTTCTCTTCTCCAGCAGGGCAAACTGTGAACTTACTGGGACATTGATATTTTGCATTTTTATCTTCCTGGGTGCTGCGGCTGTTTTATTACCTTACCCACTTGCAAGTGCTGGTCAGTTGGGTGCCCATCTTTTCATTCATTCTTTCGTTCGTTCAATCAATCAATCAATCAATCAATCAACCGGGGCCACTAGGCGTTCTGCTCAAAATTATTGGCCGGGGGGGGGGCATAGCAGGAGGCAGGTTCCTGGTTGCCCCAGGCCATGTCTGAATCTACCCATGGTGAAGAAGGGGGTGCTGGACCAGGAGCCCCACGGGTGGATTCAGACATGGCCTGGGGCAACCAGGAAGAGGAAGAAGGAGCTGGAGAGCTTCAGAGCATGGAGGAATGGGGGAAACATAAGCGTTTTTGATTGAAGCAGAAATTGTCTCTTGGAAGTTGGAAGTTGGGGGCTTCAGGAAATCCAGTTTATGTATTTGGGGCTTGCAGGTTTCACAGCAACTGCATTCAGATGACCCACATTTGGGCTCACGTGTGCTGCATGAACCTGGCTTTTCAGTCAGTTGTGTCACCTACTTCAGCTAAATGTGCTTTAATGGGAAACCTTCAAGCATCAATTTTGCTTCTCTGATCGCCCTCAAAGCATCCATGAATTACACCGGACAGCCCCGAACTGCTGTTTCCCAGGCCGGGGAGGGCCATTCTGTGCAGGGGGGGCAGAGATGTGGCCCACTTCCCCCTTGATCCCTTCAGGAGGTTCCTCCCCCCTCACTCGGGCGCTGAGGCAAGGGGGGAAGTGCTTGCTCAGGTGGGCACAGGTCAAGGTGACCCAGAGGGGTGAATACCGGCAGGCTTTGCTGGGTCAGTTTGTGACCCAAGCGGGGCTGGCGACTCCTTGGGCGGCTGGGGGGGGGGGTTCCTTAGGATTCTTCTGCGGGGGGCCTTGGCATCTCGGCTCCTGGCCGATCTTTCTACCCACGGCAGCTCTTGAAGAGAAACGGGGCTGTCTGGTGACTTCTGCTCTTTGTGATTGCGGTGACGTGCGGACAGCCACACATATGAATTCCTGCCCTTTGTGTCCCGATCAGTGTACACAGTCATGGCAGTGTGACAGGACACAATTAATGTTGCTACTTTCTGGGCAAGATCTGTTTAATATATACATATTTTAATCTTGCACTTTATATTTTAAATTTTATCTCATATAGTTTGCCTTATTTTCATTGTGAGGTCCTGACACGAATAAACCAACAGCTCTTTAAAAGACAACGAATTCTGAAATAATTTAAAAGAAATTAACCCAGAAACGGCCCTAAAATCATTATTCAGCCTATCCAGAGGGTTTCCCCTGGTGATGCCACAGAGTGACCCTGTGATAAGATAGGCAGCCAATGAATTATATAAATAATAAAAATTCATTTTTAGTTTCATCTTAGAGAGGCACAAGGGTCCCAGATCAGGACTTTTTCTCAACCCCGCCCACCTGGGACCCTGGGGGGGATCAGTATTGGCATCTTGATTGGGGGGGGGGGGTCAGCTGCACTTGTCCTCTTCTTCCTGGCCACCCCCTGCAAAGGGGGCTGCAGTCCTGCGAAGCTCAGGGGCACTTGGGCCTGCAATCTTCCCAGGGGTTCTGGCACCCCCTCCCTCCCTCACCCCCCCAGGGCTGGCAGGGCCTTCTCTCTGTTGGCGCCTGATGGAGCATCATGGCTTGTCCACCAGCCTCTAAAGCAGGGGTGGGGGGCGATGGCCTTTTTATGACTTGTGGACTCCAACTCCCAGAATTCTTCTTCCATGCTGGCTCAGGAATTCTGGGAGTCCACAAGTCATAAAAGGGCCATCGTTCCCACCCCTGCTCTAAAGGCAGCATCATGTTTTCCCCCATGGATTCCAACCGAGGCGTGTGGGGGCTGAAAGGGGTTGCTCCCCACTGAATTGATGACTGAAAGTTACACCCACGGGAGGGACAGGGTCATTACTATAGTTCCCATCATGCTATTCCAGGGAACTGAAATAGATCCGAGAGCTCAAAGCCATGTTCTGCTTTTGTTATGGAGAAGGAGAAGGGGGGGGGGTGTCTCGGCAATTGCATCACAGTTTCCCAGGTAGGAGGGCCCCCCATTCCAGAGAGCGGCCCAAGACAAGGAACTGCCCAGTCCCGAGCTGGATGGGGAGGAAGAAAGAAATCCAGGGTAGCCACACTGTAGAATCTCTCACATCCGCTATTTTAGAAGGTGATAACTTTAGCCTGGCAAGATTCTGTCCATTGGGCCTAAGCAAACAGAGGATTGGATTTGACGGTGTCACCTTTGGGCTCGGGCCTGGCAAGCCCTTGGAAGTGGCCCAGA